GACTTTTTGCGACCCCATGAACTGCAGCATGCCAGACCTCCCTGTCCATCACCAACTCCCAGGGCCCACCCAAACTGATGTCCATCGAGTCGGTGATGCCATCCAGCCATCTCATCCTCTCTCGTCCCCTTCTGCTCCTGCCCCCAATCCCTCCCAGCATCAGGGTCTTTTCCAATATTACATGAGTGCAAACATATTGCTTTTGTTCGAGAAATTCTAAAATCCCAACAAAAAGTCAGCAACAATGATACTGATGGCATACTCCTTTTCAAAGTATCACTTGATTTTATTTTTAAACCTAGCCTTATTCTAAGCAATCATGTTGGTAAAGTCAAGGGAGGTGCTGGTTAAATTAGACTGCTTAAACTTTTTTCAAACACTATAAGAAAAATATAGAAATATTAACATTTCTGAAAATATGTGTGCCTCTGCCACCCAACAGTATCTCACCTACTTCCAGAGACCAAACCACTCACTGGGAAATAAATACTCAGTGTGGTGCTCTTAGAATATGTCCACACACCCTTTGGTATGCTCCCCTTCAAAAGGCAGACACCAACCTCCCTCCCCATTTGTCTGGGCTAGATTTAATGACTTCTTTTAATAGGTAAGATATGGTAGAAATGATGCTCGATGAATCTTGAGACAAATATACTTAATTTCAGCCCAGAATTCCCCAAATTTGAACACAGGGTCCTTTTTTTTTTTTCCCCATGACATCCATCAGCACACTTTAGAAAATGCTACTGTGTGTTCAGAGAGCTTCAGGGAATGTTAACAACTCCCTTGCCCAGAACTTCCATGTCTAGATGCAGAAACTGAGGTTCAAAGGGCTCAGCGACCATTCCAATGGTGTGCATTTGTGGACTTGTTGTTCACTGGTCCACCGTCTGTGCATTTCAATGTTTGGTTTTTGCTGGGCATCTTCTCCCTTCAAGGCACTGGGCATAGCTCTGGGAAACAGGTCGACTAAGCCATGGCCTCCACCTTCACAGAGACCCTCCCTGTTCCCACGGGATCACATCACTCATAAATGGGATATGACTCCTGGGGTCCTGGCCTCAGACCCAGTCTTTTCCTCCAAGCTGCTTTTTTCTAGGTGCCAATGTCTCTAAGCTTCAGACCGTTTTCATGCTTACCTTCTCCCCAATTAGTTCCACCTCCAGCACAGGACTCACAGAGTAGTGTTTCTCTAAGAATAAGAAGTTAAACGATTTCTGCGGCAGCATCATTTTTTAGGAGGAGGAAGTGGAGAAGAGACAGGACCTCGTAATGAAAACCCTCCCTCCTCATTTGGTTTCCTGCCCCCTGGGCAGACCCCTCCCACCTTCACTCTGCTTCCCCGTGCCCCTGTGTGTCCTGGCACACGACGGGGGTGGGGGCTGGCAGAAGGAACCTTGAATATGGGTATTAGGGACAAGTCAGTGGCTCGTGGCCCATTTTAAAGGCGCCTTCATAAAACCATTCTCAGTGGATTTTAGCGCCGCCCTCCCCACCCCAAGTCTTAATGTCAGAATGGAACTGGGGAGCCCTGTGAGGAGCCCAGGTGGCCGGGGCCGCTCCCTGCCCAGCCCCGACTGACTGAGGTGGAGGTCCTCGGCACAGTAGATGAAGAACTGAAGGTAGGCCATGCTGATGGGCACCACCGACGACTTGAAGATCCGAGTGTCCATGTCCTCAGCCCTGTAGGTCAGTCTCTGATCGACCTGGAGGGACCAGAGAGCTGAGAGGGTTAGAATCACAAGGAGGTCACAGGCCACCAGACTCGGCTTCCCCAACCTTGGGCTTGCTTGGGGTGGGGACGGGCAACCTGGAAGTAACACAGCGAACAAAGGAAAGCGTGTGAAGAGCAGTGGCTGCCTGAGGGGCCTGGGGGCCGGTCACCCACAGAGGCAGCCAGGGTAAGAAATGTCCCGAGGTGCAGGGGCAGCCTCACCGGGGCCTGGTCGCCCACGCCAAGGGCACAGATGGTGACTTTCAGGTAGCCTCTCACACCGCTGTTGCGTTCGCTTGGCTGGCAGAGGCCAAGCCATTTCCTCAGGAGTGTGTGACCTGGAGAGGCAGAGGGCCCGTGGGAGACCAGCCTCCAGTTCCCCACTTCTTCCCTGGAACCAGTCTTTGCTTCTGGAGTGAGGGCAGGTGTGTGGAAAAGTGTCATATATTCTGGTTTCCATCCAGGGGCAGAGGGAAATGGGACTCACTTCTCTGTGCTTAGTCGCTCAGTCGTGTCCGACTCTTTGCGACCCTTTGGACTGTAGCCCGCCAGGCTCCTCTGTCCATGGGATTTTCCAGGCAAGAACACTGGAGTGGGAAGCCATTTCCGACTCCAGGGAATCTTCCCAACCCAGGGATCGAACCTGCATCTGCTGCATTGGCAGGTGGATTCTTTACCCGATGAACCATTGGGGAAGCCATAAAGTACAGAACATCAAGCAGAAGCCATGAAGTACAGTAAAATGTTGTCAAGTACAGAAAATAACTCACAGCCTCTTCCCCCACCATGTGTTGAATATACAGGAATTTTGAGATGATTTCAGCACCTGACTGGTTTTTCTCAGAAGACACTCACATTTCCAACAATGATTACCTACCTGGACAGTTGTAGATGAACCCGATATCTGTCTGAAAACACAGTAGAGAAAGGATTAGTTAGGGTCTCCAGCCAAGATTTGTAATAACCAACCAACTTGATGACAAACTCCAGGGAATCTTCCCAACCCAGGGATCGAACCTGCATCTGCTGCATTGGCAGGTGGATTCTTTACCCGATGAACCATTGGGGAAGCCATAAAGTACAGCATCATCAAGCAGAAGCCATGAAGTACAGTAAAATGTTGTCAAGTACAGAAAATAACTCACAGCCTCTTCCCCCACCATGTGTTGAATATACAGGAATTTTGAGATGATTTCAGCACCTGACTGGTTTTTCTCAGAAGACACTCACATTTCCAACAATGATTACCTACCTGGACAGTTGTAGATGAACCCGATATCTGTCTGAAAACACAGTAGAGAAAGGATTAGTTAGGGTCTCCAGCCAAGATTTGTAATAACCAACCAACTTGATGACAATTCATGTACTTTGTTGCTGTCCCATTGCTAAGTCATGTCTGACTGTTTGTGACCCCATGAACTGCAGCATGCCAGGCTTCCTGGACCTTCACTATCTCCCGAAGTTTGCTCAGACTCATGTCCATTGAGGCAGTGAAGCTATCTAATCATCTCATCCTCTGCCACCCTCTTCTCCTCTTGCCCTCAGCCTTTCCCAGCATCAGGGTCTTTTCCAATGAGTTGGCTCTCACGGACTTGTCCCACCCTAGCTCCTTTCATCTTTACAGCAACCTGGAAGTTGGCCCATTGTCATCTCCACTCTACAGAGGCAGATGTTGAGTTTGAGCCAAGAGCCCAAAGTCTTACAACTAGTAAGGAGGCTTGGATTGGAAGGACCCTTGACCACCACCAGCACTGCTGACCAACACAGCCTTGTTCTTCCCTATGCCTGTGTGGAGGAAAGTGTTTATCCCATTCTGCGGAAGAGGATGGCTGAGGAGTTGGCCAACAGACTATGGGAGATAGATGTTTTTCCCTGGGAGATAGATGTTCTATTTGTTTGTTTTTGATGTGGACCATTTTTAACATCTTTATTGAATTTGTAACAACACTGCTTCAGTTTTGGTTTTGGTTTTTTGACAGTGAAGCACGTGGAATCCTAGCTCTCCAGCTAGGGATCTAACCTGTGTTCCCTGCAGTGGAAGTTCAGAGTCTTAACCACTGGACCTCCAGGGAAGTCACTATGTTCATTATCTTGATTGTGATAATGGTTTCAAATACATATTTGAAAATGTATCAAATTATACATTTTAAACGTTTATACATCATTGTATGTCAATTATATCTCAAATAAAGCTGGAAGAAAACAAACCAAAACAAAACTTATTCACCTCTAATGGGCAATAGATCTAGGCAGTGATCATCAATAGCTGTTAACAACAAAGAAAGAGACCAGCAGCTTCTAGCCCTTTTGGCTAAGAGCAAGTGAAGAGACCAGCAGTCATTCTGTGCCTGTAGGTGATGTCATCTTGCCAAATAATTGACCTAAGTCTGATCCAGCCTCTAGATATCAAATACCTGGGTGGAGGATTGTGAGATGAGAGTCCTCAGCAAAATCTAGGCTGAGGGAAAACTCTGCAGGACAAACTATCCAGTTGCTTCAAGAAATAAATGGCCAGACTTCCCTAGGGGTCCAGTGCTTAAGAATCCACCTTACAATACAGGGAACTAAGATCCCATGTGCTGTGGGGCAACCAAGCCCATGAGCCACAACTGCTAAGCCCTCATTTCATGACGAGAGTCTGCAAGCTACTCTGAAAGTGCTTGCATGACACAGGAGCATCCCAAGTGCCAAAACTGAGACCTAAGACACTTGAATAAATAAATATTAAAAAAAGAAAAAGAAATGCAAAGAAAACTAGGGTGCAGGACCAACTGAATAATATACACCTAAAAATACATTTTAATCAACTGCAATATGTGCACTAGGTTTGGATCCTGATTTGAATAAACTGTAGAAGGAATTCATGAGACAATTAGGGATATTTGAACACTGACCAGATATTTAGTGCTAGCCAGGAATCATAAAGGTGTTTAGATGTTATCATTGTATTTAATTATGCTTAATAAAGTCTGTATGTTTTTGAGATAGGTAATGAAATATTTTAAAGTAAAATTATATGTCTGAGATTTGATTCAAAATATTTAGGTTGGTACAAAGCAATTGCAGTTTCGGGCCATTGCTTTTAAATCAGTCATGTCAGACTCTTTGCAACCCCATGGACTGTAGCCCACCAGGCTCTGCTGTTCATGGGNTTTTAAAGTAAAATTATATGTCTGAGATTTGATTCAAAATATTTAGGTTGGTACAAAGCAATTGCAGTTTCGGGCCATTGCTTTTAAATCAGTCATGTCAGACTCTTTGCAACCCCATGGACTGTAGCCCACCAGGCTCTGCTGTTCATGGGATTCTCCAGGCAAGAGTACTGGAGTGGGTTGCCATTTTCTGCTCCAGGGAATCTGCCCAACTCAGGCACCCCCAACCATTCCAGAATCTCTTAACTCCTGGGCCTGTGCTGTTTCTTTGAGACTCAGTTGGGGGAGGGGCAGGTTATGAACACTCACATGCTTATTACAAGTTGTGAGAAAGAAACCTTCCTTTGACTTGTCCTAAATTTGCCTTTCCCAAGGGTAGGGCCTTTTCCCAAGAGTTGCCAGATTTAGGAAATAAAAATACAGATGCCAGTTTAAATTAGGATTACAGATAAATAACGACTCTTTTTTAGTAAACATAGGTCCCCAGCAATATTTCATGAGGAGCCATGAAATATTGGGGACATACTTACATTTAAAAAGTACCTGTTGTTTAAGATTAAAAATTTCCAGGGCCTTCTGGATTTAACCTGGCAACCCTACCTTTTGGTTAGCCCTTCATGATTGTGTGAATGTTCCTCATTTCTCAACCTGGGTCTTTCCCAAAGCAAATCTTTTCACTCGGTCTTCAGGGGCAGTCTTTCTCCAGATTTTCCAACAATTGGTTTACCTTTTGGATCCTCTGTTTCCATTTTCTGGAGACAGAGATGTGAGCTGTGTCCATAAATATTCTAAGTGTGGGGGAGTCGAGGCGGCACCCAGCACTCTCATAAATGTTACATACTTTAATCCTCACAAAAATCCTGTGGGTTGAGTATGTTATTATCCCCATTTTACAGATGAGGAAGTAGAGGCTCCGAATAACTTGTCTAAATCACCCAGTGGGTAGGTGGATCCACAACTGGATCTTCCTGCATGAAAATCTCAGCCCTTTTCCCTAGCCTGGGGCAAGTAGCCCTGGGTGGGTCTCTGTAACTATTTCACCAAACCTCCTCCTCCATCCAGTGCTCACTTGGAATCTCCCAATCTCTGCATTGAATCTCATCACTGAGGAGTTCATCACCTGCAGGGAGTTCCGAGAAAGATTTGTTATTCATAACCCTGATTTCCCCAACCCCGTGAGAAGAATGGCAGGGTACATCTGGGCTCTCCAGGACTGACTCAACGCTTCCTAATGACTGACACTTCCAAGTAGTGTTTCTCATTTAATTCTCAGAGGACCCCTGAGAAGTTCAGATTTTTAGTTCCACTTTCAGGATGAGGAAATTGATCAGAGGTCAATTCACTTGGTCTCCACAAGTCAAACTTGCTCTCAGCTTTCTCCTCTGCATCCTATCTTGGCTGTTTCCTAAGAACTCTTCAAGGGAGAAGCCTTGGTCTCACTAGCCCTGTGTTGGGCACATAGGAGGCATTTGATAAATACAAGTTTCCCATTGTTACTGGGCTCCCTGTGGTCAGAGAACGGAATGTCTCATTTGGAGGGACGTTTGAGGGGTCCTTTGGTGGCATGAAAATCCTGGTACATGGGAAAGGGTTGCTCTGTTCACCTTGGAGCTAAGCTCAGGGCCTATCAGTTGGCATTTCATAACATTCATTGAAAGAACAAATAAATGGGTGGATGGATGGATAGATGGATGGATGGATGGATGGATAGATCAGGCGGGCGTCTGGCTGCTGGGGTGAAGAAGGTGGCAGAGATGCTGCCTTGGGGTCAGAAAGACCATCTTATGTGACTCTAGCTCTACAGATGGGGCTGGAGGGGAGTGAAGCACTTTTCAGAATTGAGGCGGGAAAGAAAAGTGAACCCATCTTGCCCGGCTCCTCACCTGGATTAAGATGATCTCATCGAAGAACTTCATAGGAGCCTCATAAAAATTCTGAAAGAAGATCTGAAGTAGAGAGAATGGGAGGGGGCTGGAGGTGGGAGTGGGAAACGTGTCTCCATCACATCCCCCAGGGACTGAGCAAGCCTGAATTAAGAGGCTTCTGCCTGTCATTTGCCCATTTTGATGACCTTCATCTCCTTACCACCCACATGTTCCGCTTGTAGAAGCAGAGACCCGCCAGGTCCTAAAGGATTTTTTATCCAGAAGAGGGTGGTGTAGGGGAATCCCTGGAGGACCTGGGAGCGGCTCAGAGCCCATCACACTGTCCTGGGATGGAGATGAAAGTGTCCGCCTCTTTCTAGATCGCCCTGTCGGTCCACAACACTCCCACTTCCTGCTGCAGCCAGAACCACCCCTCCAAGAGTAGACCTGGCCCTGTCACCCTCCTGCTTGAGTCCCTCCATGGCTCTCAGGTCCCATCCATGATGAGGCCGCAGCACATTTTGCAGGCTTACCTACGGCCACCCCCCCATCCCAGCTCCACCCATGTCTACAGTTTTGCCAGCCAGCCCTACTGTTTCTTCCTTCCAGGTCTCTGAGAACACAGTTCCTTTTTCCTGAATTATCTTTCTCTATCTTGTCCCTCTTTCCTTGGTAGACTCTTCCTTCAAGGTTTCAGGAGACTTTTCTGAGTCCTCTCCACCCTCTGTTCCCTGCCCCCAATGTGCTTCTCTCTTTTCTTTGGTGGTCTAGTCACAGATTAATTCAGTGCCTATTTATGGAGTTCTTATCGCGTCAGTCATGATGCCAGGATGGGAGGCCCCAGCACCGGCAAAGTCAGCATTCTTGTTCAGTAACTCAGTCGTGTCCAACTCTTTGCGGCCCCATGGACAGCAGCATGCCAGGCTTCCCTGTCCATCACCAATTCCCAGAGCCTGCTCAAACTCGTTCATGGAGTTGGTGATGCCATCCAACCATCGCATCCTCTGTTGTCCCCTTCTCCTCCTGCTTTCAATCTTTCCCAGCTTCACAGTCTTTTCTAATGAATCAGCTCTTCGCATCAGGTGGCCAAAGTATTGGAGCTTCAGCTTCAGCATCAATCCTTCCAATGAATATTCAGGACTGATCTCCTTTAGGATTGAGTGGTTTGATCCTCTTGCAGTCCAAGGGATTCTCGAGAATCTTCTCCAGAACCATAGTTTGAAAGCATCAATTCTTCAGCACTCAGCTTTCTTTATGGTCCAACTTTCATATCCATACCTGACTACTAGAAAAACCATAGCTTTCATCTAGGCAAACCTTTGTCAGCAAAGTGATGCCTCTGCTTTTTAATACAGAGACATTGAAGTTGTCTAGGTTTGTCACAGCTCTTATTCCAAGGAGCGTGTCTTTTAATTTCATGGCTGTAGTAACCGTCAGCAGTGATTTTGGAGCCCAAGAAAAGAAAGTCTGTCGCTGCTTCCACCTTTTCCCCTTCTATTTGCCATGAAGTGATGGGGCCAGATTGCTATCACTTCCACATGGGGCCTGCACTTTCTGGATGCATCAGTGGCCCTCCCAGATCTTTATCCTCCAGGCCCTTGTCCCCCCAGATTCCTGTCTCCCCAGATCTCTGTCCCCCCACATCCCTGTCCACTGCAGTCTTGCCCCATTGTCATCATTTATGTGCTTACGTACTATGCTCTCCACGGTGGACCATCTGTGCCCAGTTTTGTGGAACAAACAAATGAAAGCGGTCGAGGCGGGGAGCAAGCTTACCATCCACCAGCAGGAAAGGCCTAGCCCTTGGCCGGCCCCTTTGACCCAAGGGCCCCATTCAGCTCTGAAGGGCGTGGGCTGCCCACCTCATTGAAGAAAGGGTTGTTCCCCATCTTGATCCGTGAGTGGTGCTGGCGGCCTCCAATGACCACCTTCACCACTGGTTTGATGTCGTTGCCCATCAGCTGCCGGGCTTCAAACACCTGCACTCGGACCTGCAGGGAGAGACCAGGGGAAACAGGCTCCTATTTGTCAAGGGGGACTCTCCTCTGAAAGAACAGCGTTCTGGTAAGCAGCGTCTACGGCCGATGGAAAGCGGCCCCACAGCCCTGGGAAGGCTCTGGCTCCCTGTTTCCTCCTGTGGGAACTGTCACCTCCACTTCGCCCTATCATTTTGGGTGCACATAGGTTTTACTGAGTGGGAGGGACTTGTTACAGAATATGGCCGAACATTTCTCAGTTGTTGTTGTTTCGTTTTGTTTCTTTGAAATATTTATTTGACTGTACCAAGTCTCAGTTATGGCATGTAGGATCTTTAGTTACAGCATGTGGGATCTAGTTCCCTGACCAGGGATTGAACCTGGGACCCTGCATTGGGAGTGGGGAATCTTAGCCACTGGACCACCAGGGAAGTCCCACAGTATATTGTGTTTTATACTTGCGATCTTTTTACAGAATTGAACACTTTATTTAATTTTATTTAATTATTTATTTTTTACCAGAGATGAAGAAGTTTATTTCACAGTAATAAAAGGACCAGTTAATGAAGAGAACATATAAAGATTATAAACATTTTTGCTTATACCCTTGTCAGGGTATAACAGATCTTCAGAATATATGAAGCAAAAACTGACAGAAGTATAAAGAGAAATAAACAAAAACTTTTCTCTCCATTGATACAGCAGGTAGGCAGAAAATCATCATGGTATAGTACATTTGAATAGCACTATCAATCAACTTGGCTTCCCCAGTGGCTCAGCAGTAAAGAACCCACCAGCCAAGGCAGGAGACTGGGTTCCATCCCTGGGTCGGGAGGATCCCCTGGAGAAGGAAATGGCAACCCACTCCAGTATTCTTGCCTGGGAAATTCCATGGACAGAGGAGGCTGGTGAGCCACAGTCCATGTGGTTGCAAAAGAATTGGACATGACTTAGAGACTAAACAACAACAACAACAATCAATCAACTTGACCCGATGGACATTTATAGACTATTTGATCCAACAGGGGCAGAATGCAAATTATTCTTAAGTGTACACAGAACATTTACCAAGAAAGACCATATTCTGGAACATAAAGCATGTTTCAATAAATTAAAAAATAATCATTCAGGTTATGTTTTTTTTTTACCATAATAGTATTATTTTTTTTCAGTGTTCATTGGAGTATAGTCGCTTTACAATGTTGTGTTGGTAGGAACTGAACATTTTAAACTTCTGTGCAGTTCAATCTATGATCTGTGTTTCTTCTTCTCTCCTGAGACTCAGTAAAGGTTCTCACCTGGAAGTGCTGAGGCTTTGGGGACAGAGCCTTGTGCACTGTGGCACTGGGAAACATCAGCTTCTGCTTAGCCACCTCTTGAGCTGTTATGGCCAGGAGGTCTTCATCACCTGGGGAAACAGCCCAGGGTGGGCTCTCACGGGGGGAGAGCAGGACACTTGGGGGCATGTCCCCCATTTCATCGTTCTGTCCTCAGTGTCCCCAGTGCTAGCTAAAATCACAGCCAGGAGGCCCTGGGAAGGGCACATGACCCCCAGAACCCTCCCATGGTCTCCCCTAGCCTCGGTAACCCTGGGCCTCACTCTTTATACATGGGCGGGGCACGCTCTTGGAAATGTCCATCCTTGCCTCCCTCTGCCGCCTATTGGAGGCTGAGTCTTATGTCTACGGTGACAAGTAGACATATTGGGCAGGTGTCTGGAGATCTCACAATCCTATAGGCCTCAAGGGTTGGGTCTCCAAGATTCCCAAGAGCCCACCCAGCTATGGTTGGAGAAGGGCAGGGCTCAGCCCTGTGGAAGCACATACCGATCCTCTCCATATCCTTGTAGGTCATAAGCGCTGCCTGTAAGGCGATGGTACACTGCAAGGCAAAGGCAGGGAGCTGTAAGATCCTGCAATCCCTGGCAAGACCGTAGTGCTAGAGCCTGGTCCATCGTGGCAGGAGTCACACCCAGCCACCCTGGGTGGGGTGGTGCTGCCCACGGCACTGGGCCACAGCAGGGGGACGGTGCAGTCTGAGGTGGAGGGAGGTCATGAGCTGATGGGGAGAGGGCCATGGGTCACTGCAGATGGGGGCTGAAGAACAGAGGAGGCACGTGACTCTGGTGGTGACAGAATAGAATGCTGCAGGGTGGGGACAAGAGAAGTGACTTGGGACCAGTCCAGAACCACTGATGCTAAACCAGCCCAACGTCTCATGACGTCCTGTGGGAACTCCAGCAAACACCCAATTGACCTGCCTCCAAGTGCCCTCACTGCTCATCCATCGTCAGAATTGACCCGTAAACTCCCTAAGTGCCCTAAACTATCAGAGTAAAGTCACAGCTTACCGCGTAGACCCCATGAGGCCCTTCACTTCTGGCCCCTGGCCACCACCCGGTCTCGGCTCTCCTGCAGCCAAGCCCCCCCGCACCACCCCCAGTGCCGGCAGCGCAGGCAGCCCAGCCTCCTGAACATGCTGCGTTGCCTTCTTGGCCCCCAGCCTCCACGCAAGCCCCTTTTGGCCCTGCCAGGGGCTGTCTTTCTTCCCTCTCCGCTGGGCAAACCCATGTGCAGCTGTGCTCAGTCGCCCCGTCGTGTCCGACTCTGCGACCCCATGGACTACAGCCCAGCAGGCTCCTCTGTCCGTGGGGATCTTCCAGGCAAGAACATTGGAGTGAGTCGCCATGCCCTCTTCCAGGGGCTCTCCCCAACCCAGGGATTGAACTTGTGTCTCCTGCATTTCAGGTGGATTCATCTGAGCCACCACGCCTCTCCTTAAAAACCATCTATAGGGCTTCCCTGGTGGCTCAGTGGTTAAGAATCCTCCTGCCAATGCAGGAGACACAGGTTTGACCCCTGGTCCAGGAAGATCCCACATGCCAAAAAGCAACTGAGCCCATGCCCAACAACTATTGAGCCCGTGCTCCAGAGCTCGGGAGCTGCAGCTACTGAAATGCGAGTGCCTTAGAGCAGGTGCTCTGGAACTGCAGAAGCCATTGCAACGAGAAGCCTTCACACTGCAACTAGAGAGAAGCCCGTGCTTGCCACAAGTAGAGAAAAAGCCTGTGCAGCAACCAAGACCCAGCACAGCCAAAAATAAATAAAGAAAACCACAGTGAAAATGTATTTTAATCTATAAGAGTGGAACTCTGACCTACACTCTGTTGCAATCAGCTCAGGAAATGAACCTGACACTCACAGTAACCAGCCCAGGAAGTCAGTTTGTTGTGAGTCGGACCTATAGAAAGTCAGACCCCCAGTTCTAGCATCAAACAGCCAGGACTTGATTAATAACTGACGAATCCCTTAATTTTGTTCCCACTTTTAGCTCAGGGCCAATGGGAGAAAGCCAAATATATACCCCTAAGCAGTCACATAGGGCACTCAGCTTCTAGCTGGTCCACTCACAGCTTCCCCAACATCAACAGCTTCCCGTCAGGACACACCTGAAGTCTTCCCTTTTTCTACCATAGAGTTTTCTCACTCCTCTGCCTGCCTTTGCATCTCTGTCAAATCTAAGTGCTGGTGGCTGACTCCCTTGTTATATCTGTTGTGGTGGTTTAGTCGCTAAGTCATGTCCAACTCTTCTGTGACCCCACGGACTGTAATCCACCAGGCTCCTCTGTCCATGGGATTTCCCAGGCAAGAATACTGGAGTGGACTACCATTTCTTTCTCTAGGGGATCTTCCTGACCTAGGGATCGAACCTGTGTCTCCTTCATTGTGGGCAGATTCTTTACCACTGAGCAACCAGGGAAGCCCCTTGTTACACATTAATAGCGAGCTCTGAATAAATCGCCTTTGCTTATTCTCATCTGGCTGGTCTTCATTGCCTCCTCCATAAAGCCTTTCATTTTCTCTCAAGTGAAATCATTCATTCCCTCCTGACCTCAGTGAAGTAGCTTTACAGACCCCAGTACACATGTGCTGGAGTGCTTGTCATGTGAGTGACAACAGATGTGGGCCTCATTCAAGTTTGTATCCCAGGCCTAGCAGCGTTGCTGACACCAGGAGACAACTGACTGAACACTGATCTCAACGGGTGGATGAAGGGTAGAGGGGTGAGTAGGTAGATGAAGAGTGTCATGGAACCTGGGGATGTGAGGACAAGTGTGATGGGTCCCCCAGGGTAGAAAATGTTCTCTGAGTTAGGGGGGACACTGAGACTCTGCTGCTGGGCATGGCCCAGCTTCATCAGCTGCCCCCCACTCCTTCAGCCACCCCCCTGGGGCCCGACTCACGTCTGTGGGCATCATGGAATGGTTGAGCAGGGTCAGGTCATTCACAAAAAGGATCTTTCTTGGTTTTTTCACCAAGGGCTTGAGCAGTACTGTGGCCATGCCAATGAACCTAGGGAGACAGGGAGCAGGTGTGAGATCCTGAGCCAGGTGTCCTCTGTCCCAGGCATAGCTTTATCCAGGGATGTCTTTTCCCTCGTTGAGGCTGTGCTGTCCAGACAGAAGGAAGGATGCAGTGATGGGGAGCATCCACTAGAGGGCACAGGACTCTCAACTCTCTGGGAATTGGCTTGGGGGCTTCCTTGCCAGTGGACACCCTAGTTACTGGCTCTGCCATGCTGTGCTGAGCCCCTTTCCAGAAACTCTGCTCCCACGCTCCTCTGGAACAGGACCTGAGCCAAGGAACAGCTGATAGGACCAGGAGGTGGGCATCTGACCAAAGCTGGGCCAATCAAATTCTCTGTCCTAGGAATTTTGACCTGGGATGCCATAGCTCAGACTCAGTAGGGCACTAGAATGGGGCTGTGATGAGAAACCAGTGTTGGGCAGAAAGAAACAGGTTTGAGATCCTTTGTCTCCAAAAGAGACAGAATGCTCCTGAGTCCCTAGTTTCCTAATTCTGTTTGATCTATCTATAATACTAGCCTTGATACTTTTCTTTTAGCTGTCTAAAGTGGGTTCTAGTCCTTGCATCTGAGTTATGGCTTAGAGGCTGGAGACACAGTATCTGCTGTAGATTCGGTCAGAGAATCAGGCTCCTCCTGCCCCTCTCTCTGGGGGAGCCTCACCTTTCCTTCTTCACTGAGCCCATGTCTCGAAGGGTGATTTGCAGGAAAGAGTCCTTCTGCAGGGGGTGGTTCCAGAGGTGCCAGATGAGCGTCTGGGGGAGCCACAGAGAGGTCAATATCCTCCCTCTGTCCCGCCCCCTTCCCATCCTTCTAGGAAATGAGAAAAGATGCAGGTGAAGGTCTGACACTGTGTTTCTCTCGAACTGAGGACTCTCCCTCAAGTTCAGTTTCCTAAGAGGAGGCATTTGTTACCTTCACCCAGGAGCTGGGCATCCTACCAGAGCTCCTAGAGCTTAGCTGCAGTACTGGGGGCTTGTTAGTGATTAAGCGGCTTGGGAATCAGGTGGTGGGACAAGGATGGATGAGATGAGGGGGGATCCTGCAGAGGGAGCCCTGTCTCTGGGAACATCAGGATGGCTGGTTGGACAAGACGAGTCCATCCCAGGGTGAGAAAGGAAGGCCAAGAGCTCTGAGCAGCTGTGGTTGCTGTGGCCCTGAAGTCTGGCCCCACACAGACTTCTCAGCATAGAGTCTGCTCACAGGGCAAGATGCTCCAGCCATGGGAAGGCTGATGAGGCCCCTGTCCCCTCTCTAGACTTCTGAGCACAGTCAGTCTGGGCCCAGCCTGACTGCTGAGCTTGTCATCGTCTCATCTGGGCTTTCCCTGATGTGTTTTACCTCATTCCACACGGGGTGATTGCCTTCCACCTCACGAGTTGTCCTCTTGACATCTGAAAAGACACCAAGGGGCCAGCATATATGATAGGACATGTTTCAAAGTCAAGGTTCAAGTGAGCAAACAGAGGTCAGACTCTTTAAGAAAACATCCAGTCTACATTGGCAGATGTGATGTGGCACTGATTCTAACTTTGGAGTCTTCTAAATTTCTCTCCTTTCGTTAAGAGTGACATCACCCCCATGTGACAGATAATGTTATGTGTTCATTTCATTTTCCTCCTGGGTACACAGTTCCCAGTCATCTCACACCAGGATGGGGCCGGGTAGCTCGTTCTGGCCAATGGAGTGTGGGGGCGATACTTAACTGCTGCCTGGATTGGCTCCCAAAGCTTCCCATGAGAGTCTCCATTCCCCTCCCCGCTCCCGTGTCCACTCTCACCATCTGCTGGCAGAGCGATGCCTGGTGACTCTGAAGCCACCAGCAGCAAGCAGCTGGTCCCCAGTCTGCTCTTTGGAGGAGTCATATAGGATTGCTGCCTGATCTGTACCACTGACGTTAGACTTGGTTGTGAGCAAGGGGTGAACTTCTGTTGTGTTAAGGCACCAGGATTTAAGGGTTCCATTGTTACCATTGAGTAACAATCAACGGTAAAGTCAGTGTACCCTGAGACATCCTAAAACATCTCTAATGGGATAAAAGGTCTTTATCCACTACAAGTTGTCTTCTCCAGAAACATCTTTAACAAAGGACAGTCCATAGCCCCGCAAAGAACCTCTAAATTGGTAAATCTGAGATTTTTCCCAAGGAACGAATGTGTGTATGAGGGCATGGTAACCCACTCCAGTATTCTTGCCTGGAGAATACCATGGACAGAGGAGCTTGGTGGCCTACAGTTCATGGGGTTGCAAAGAGCCATTCACTGGAAAAAAGGAAGGCAGAGGAGCCATAATGAGAACTCATAGCAATAAGGATGATAAATTTGAAAGATCCAGATGATGTCTACCTCATCTTCTGGTCACGTGGCATCTTTTACACAGTAGGGCACCAATGGATCTAGTTTGCACTGGACACATGTTGCCTCTTGGGGGTCCTGGCTCTTACCTCTGAAGTACACGGAGACGCAGGGTCTGGGTGGGGGGCTTAGGGGTGGGCTAATCTTGGCCGACTGCACAATAAGCCGTAGCATCTTCCCCGCCAACTTCTCAATGTCCTTCTCAGGTGAAACTTCCTGCTTGGAGCACCTTGGTCCAGGGCTTCTCCTAGGGCTTATAGGGTGAGTAAGATCTGTTGCTTAGCAACAGAGGTGATGTCACAAAGGTCGGTGGCTCTTGATTCTGGAGAGGAATGCAGAGAATGGAAAGAGGAATAAGTCGTAGGGCATGATGAAGCCAGTGGCTTGAGGTGACCAGGGCTGTAGAAACAAAAGTTTGACTAAATTTCATTTCTTCTTCCCATTTTCTTTTCTCTCTCATTCTTACTGTCCTTCTAATTTCAAGATCAGGAAAAAGGGGAATATCTTGCTTTATACAAGCAAGATATCTGGACTGAATCATTGCCAAAGTCACACTGTTTCCATAAGAAAATAGAGAAGGGAAGTGAGTTGACAAAAGGAATAGGGAACTCAAAGATGATTTCAGTGATGTTTCAGAAGTCCTTCCTAATGTGAAAGCAAACATTGAGGCCTCCCTTTTTCTAAAGAGGACATGAGCTTAGATAATGAGTCTCTCTTTAACCAAACTAGCTTACTCATTAACAAATTTCTATGCCAGCCAGCTGGGTTTGTAAAGTTAAAGAAAACTCTCTAAAGAAAAATCTCACTGAAATATAATCTTGTTGTGGTGTCTTGATTGCTCTCAAGGACTCTCAGAATGAGAAAGGAGCAGGTCATTGCTCTTGTTGTCCCTAAGCTTTTTCTACTTTGGGGTTGATCATTATATAACCTACATCTAACTACATCCAATAGTTAGCGTGAAAAAATTTTTTGTCAATTTATTTACTTGGCTGTGCCGGGTCTTAGCTGCGGCATGCGAGCTTACTAAGACTTTTTTTTTGTTTTTTGATGCAGACCATTTTTAAAGTCTTCATTGAATTTGTTTTATGTTTTGGTTTTTTGGCCACAGGTTATGTGGGATCTTAGTTTCCTGATCGGGGATGGAACCTGCACCCCTTGCATTGGGAGTAGGGAGTCTTAGCCACTGGACCCCCAGGGAAGTCCCATTAGCATAAAAATTAATGAATGTTTTTAAAATGTGTATTAGTTGATGAAACAATTTACCACTAAGCTTACTACGCATTCTGAAACATGCATAGCATTCAAAGAACAACAACAATTAAAAAAAAACAAACTGGATGTGTGACTATGGTGCTAGGATTGCTTTTAGTCTTCCTTAGTTTTTCTTGAAATCCAACAATGACACAATGCTTGTTGCTTTGTGACAGATTTTCCAAACTAATCATGACACAAAAGGCAAACCCAGTAAAGGAAGAGGTTGATAGATTGGATCATATAAAATTTAAGATTCTTGTATAGAAAAATATACCTTAAAAGGCAAATATCAAGGTAGGGAACATGCAACAGTTCTTATAATTCAATAAGAAAATGATGAATACTCCAGAGAGAAATGGACAAAGTTTAGATTAGAGGATTGCCCAAACAGATGTTTAAAAAAAGATGCAAAAACAAATTCAACCTATTTACTAATCAAAGAAATGCAATGAGGTACTGTTTGTCATTTTGGCAAATTGGACTCAGAAGCCCCCAAAACAAGAAAAATATGTAAAAAAAAAAAATTCAAGCTCATTAATAAGCAAAGAAATACAATAAGATACCATTTATCACCTCCCCGATCGGCAAAGAATGAAAAAAAAATGATTAACTTGGTGTGCTGATGAAGGAAGCAGGGGCAGAGAAAATATACCAGTTCATACACTGTGCTGATCAGACATAAAGAGAAAAAAAACAGCAGAATGCTGGAGCAAAATAAGTGCCAGGGCAAGAGAATTAAGGGTGGTGAAAGATGAACCAAAGGCTGCTCTTTTTCTGTCATCCTAATAATATTAACCTCTATATCTCTAAATAGTATATTTAAATAACATCTCTTGAATTTTTCACTTTAAGAGACTATCTACCAAGTCAGTTCTTTTACATCATCTTTCACTCCTTTCCCATCTCCCAGCTTCTCTCTCCCAAACTTTCCAATTCATCACTTTTAGACCGTATCTACCCTGGAGGAGGGCATGGCAACCCACTCCAGTATTCTTGCTTGGAGAATTCCATAACCAGAGGAGCCTAGCGGGCTAACATATAGTCCATGGGGTCACAAAGAGTCAGACACAACTGACTTGCCATGCAGACACCATTGTTTATCTGCAGATTTAACTTTTATGCAGAGTGCATCATGAGAAATGCTGGACTGGATGNTTTGGCCACCTGATGTGAAGAACTGACTCATTTGAAAAGACCCTGATGCTGGGAAAGATTGAAGGCAGAGGAGAAGGAGACGACAGAGGATGAGATGGTTGGATGGCATCACGGACTCAATGGACATGAGCTTGAGTCAACTCCAGGAGTTGGTGATGGACAGGGAGGCCTGGCATGGTGCAGTCCAAGGGGTCGCAAAGAGTCAGACATGACTGAGCGACTGAACTGAACTGAACTGAACTGAACTGTTGCTTATCACACACGATGACAGGTTTAGTACACCTGCCTTTCCTGCAACCTGTTTTCATTCATATCTCATTTGGGGGCTAAATCTATACTGTATTTAGTATTTTCTTTTTATGATAATACATTTTTTTTCAGTGGGCTTCCCAGGTGGTGCAGAGGTAAAGAATCTGCCTGCCAATGCAGGAGACTCAAGAGATGCGAGTTCAATCCCTGAGTGGGGAAGCTCCCCTGGAGGAGGGCATGGCAACTCACTCCAGTATTCTTGCTGGAGTATTCCATGGATAGAGGAACCTGGTGGGCTACAGTCCACGGGGTTGCAAAGAGATGGACACCACTGAAGCAACTAAGTACAACCACAAAGTCTAATCTCTGCCTTGAGGGCAGCACTGCCTTGCTTTAACTTCTTAAGGGTAGGGCCATCTTGACGCATCTTTGCAGGGACCAGCAAGCAGCACTCCACAAATTATTTATTTTTAATAGTTTTTTTTTTTTTTAGCAGTTTTAGGCTCACAGCAACTTTTAATTTTTACATGTATTTTTATTGTGGCTGTTTCTTGAGTAAATTCCTTTTTTTTATTTTTTAAGTCTCGTTGCTTTACAGTATTGTGTTAGGTTCAGGCATGCAGCATAAGGAGTAAATTCCTAAGGAACACAACCTGGTAGGTAAGCTTTGTGGAGTGGAAAAGAGGTTGCCCTGCCTCCCGGCCCTGGCCAGGCAATCTACAAAGCAACAGTGGCGGGCAGCGAGAATAGGGGCTGCAGGAGCCAGCCTCCTTCCTCACCCTCATTTTTCCTGCTGAAGATGCAAGAACCCATACTCTGAACTCTGTGCTGTCTGCAGGCGAGGCCTGCATGCGTTCTCAGTTCAGTTCAGTAGCTCAGTCATGTCCGACTCTTTGTGACCCCATGGACTGTAGCACGCCAGGCCTCCCTGTCCATCACCAACTCCTGGAGCTTACTCAAACGCATGGCCATTGAGTCGGTGATGCCATCCAACCATCTCATCCTCTGTCATCCCCTTCTCCTCCTGATTCACTAGTTGGATCTCCTTGCAGTCTAAGGGACTCTCAAGAGTCTTCTCCAACACCACAGTCCAAAAGCATCAGTTCTTCAGTGCTCAGCCTCATTTATAGTCCAACTCTCACCTCCATACATGTTTATTGCAAAAACATAAGTTTGATTAGATGGACGTTTGCTGGCAAAGTAATGTCTCTGCTTTTTAATATGCTGTCTAGGTTGGACACAACTTTTCTTCCAAGGAGCAAGCATCTTTTAATTTCATGGCTGCAGTCACCACCTGCAGTGATTTTGGAACCCAAGAAAATAAGTCTGTCACGATTTCCATTGTTTCCCCATCTATTTGCCATGAAGTGATGGGACCAGATGCCATGATCTTAGTTTTCTGAATGTTGAGTTTTAAGCCAACATTTTCACTCTCCTCTTTCACTTTCATCAAGAGGTTCTTTAGTTCTTCTTCACTTTCTGCTGCATATCTGAGGTTATTGATATTTCTCCTGGAAGTCTTGATTTCAGCTTGTGCTTCATCCAGCCCGACATTTTGCATGATGTACTCCGCATATAAGTTAAATAAGTAGGGTGGCAACACACAGCCTTGACGTACTCCTTTCCTGATTTGGAACCAGTCTGTTGTTCCATGTCCAGTTCTAACTGTTGCTTCTTAACCTGAATACACATTTCTCAGAAGGGAGGTAAGGTGGTCTGGTATTCCCATCTTTTGAAGAATTTTCCAGTTTGTTGTGATCCACGGTCAAAGGCGTTGGCTGTCAATAAAGCAGAGGTAGATGTTCCCTGGAGAAGGCAGTGGCACCCCACCCCAGTACTCTCGCCTGGAAAATCCCATAGCGGGAGGAGCCTGGTGGGCTCCGCCGTCCATGGGGTCGCAAAGAGTCGGACGCGACTGAGCGACTTCACTCTCACTTTTCACTTTCCTGCATTGGAGAAGGAAGTGGAAACCCACTCCAGTGCTCTTGCCCGGAGAATCCCAGGGACGGGGGAGCCTGGTGGGCTGCCGTCTATGGGGTCGCAGAGTCAGACACGACTGAAGCGACTTAGCCGCAGCAGCAGCAGAGGTTCCCTTGCAGCACCATGGTTTCCGGGTTTTGCGGCTCACCGCCCCTCCCTTCCCAGCTGGAATCCACTTCCGTGTTTTGCTCCGTGCCCGGGGCCCCAGGGCGTGGAAGCGGTAACGCGCACGCGCACAGGGATCCGGCCCGGGCCGAGCGCGCGACCGGACGATTGCGGGTGAGGGAGAGTCGGTCCTGGCCGGGATGGCGGGCCTGAGGGGTCGTGGTCCGGGTCGGAGCGGGCAGGGGGCTCTCGGCTAGGATCTCCCGGCTCCCGGGGCATGCGGGGGCCGGGCGCTAGAGCCCGGGTCCTGGCGGTCTGGGTCGCACGATCGTCTAGGTCCGGGGGCGGGCTCGGGCCGCCGCGACGCGGGCACTCAGCCCGGCTGGGGCAGGCGGGAGGCGGGTGCGAGGTGGCTCCTCCTCGTCGCGAACTCTCGGTGACCTTGGCCAAGTCACTCCATCCCCTTGAGCCGGCGCCTGCGTCTGTGAAGTGTGAATTACGAGCCCTGCCAGCCTGCTGGAGCGGTTTTGAGGCTCGGGGGCAGGACCCCGAGGGTACCTGGGGTAGAGGGCGGTTCCCTGGGGGCCACCTGGGCCTTGGGTGAGGGAGAGGGGCCTTCCCGGCGTAGCATTTTGTTACAGGCTTTGGGGGAGGCCGCTCATCTGTAGATTTTTAAAACTCCAGAGCCTTATGAAGTAGTTAAAAAACTTTTGTTTAACACAAAGGAGAGACGTCAGGGCTTCCCCGAGGCCCACGTTGCGCAACTGTCAGCAATGCTCATGCTCCGGCCGGAGACGGCTCCATGAGAATGGTTCGCAGCCGTCGAGACCCTTAGTTGTGGAATTAGTACTATTTGTGATTCCTCTTGTTTGCCAAAACCCGTTGCGCCCACCTGGGAAATTGTGGCGCTGGCCAAGCCAGTCTAGTATCTGTCCACGTGAGGCAGTCCGCCAGCTTCCCAATGGACCGAATTGTAGAGACTGAGGATGGAGGGGGCGCCATAGCCGTTTTGGGTGGTGGAGTGGGATCTCAGGAACCCTTCTGACGCCGGAAAGGGTCCGCAGTGTGACAGATGTGTAGTTATATAATACTCAACTGCCAGTGGTAGAAGGTCACTAAAATAAGAAGCCTATTAAGATGTCCTAGGTTGGAAGAAATTCAGAGCATTTGAATTGACTTGAACTGAAACTTTTCACCGCAGGTGACTAGCATGCAGATAACCATTCTCTGACCTGCTGCCCCTCTTCTGACATGGCCCACCGCGGTGGGGAGAGGGACTTCCAGACTTCAGCGCGGCGCATGGGCACCTCTTTGCTCTTCCAGCTCTCGGTGCATGAGCGGGAGCTGGACCTGGTGTTTCTGGATCACAGCTATGCTAAGCCGTGGAGTGCCCACCCCGATGCCAGCAGTGCCCGCCCCACCCGCATGCTCTTTGTTACTCCGCGGAGACAGCATGAAAGTACCATGTGAGTTTGGCCTTCTCTCCTATGGGCTGCGGTCACCCTAACTGGGCAGTAATCAGCTGGGGATTAGAGTGGATTATTGTGGGAGATTAGGGGTGGGGTGGGGCATGGATGTTTAATTCAGCATCCTTCTTAACCATCCTGAGGATGTTAGGCCTCTTGGTGAACATCTGGATTCAAGACATCTAATGAGTTAGGAAGGCAGGATATCCAAAGGAAGCAAACAGCTGATTGCATTTAGGATAATAGGACTTGTGTGGAAAGAGGAATTGAAGAGGATTATTTAAACGGAAGAAAAAGATGGAAGAGTTGACTTTTAAAAATTGTCACATAGGATTAGACTCATTCCTAAAATAGCCCAGTGTTCTGGCTCCAACACTGGCAAATAACCTTTTTATGGTAATTTGATTTGTTTTTCCTCCATTCACCTGCAAAGCTTAGGAGCACATGCCCACCACTTTTCTTTCTGCCTTAACTTGTTATAGAACTGTCACCATGGGTTGATCTTAACCCTTCTTAGATCTGGTTATATTTTCAGCCCACCTACATAATAGGGTCAGGAATTTTTTCATAAACTTACCATCTAGTGTGTGATACAGTTACATTTGGTCTATGCAAACTTGTTTAGCAGTTGTTTTGAGCTTTAAGGCATTCTGATTACCTTGGAATACAAGGTGTTTCAAGATTTAGTGATATATTCTATTTTGATGATAAAATCATACCCTTAATAATTTTATAAACTTTTTTGGGGAGGAGTTGTTTTTGTTTGTCTCAATCTGACCTGATGTTTAATCTCTCTAGCACAGGTTTTAGGTTTGCTGGAAAACAGAGATCTTGCGCTTTGCTTCTTTTGATCCCCCAGTGAGCCTTAATGAGCTAGAAGTGCCATGACCTGTGTGTGTTTAACACATGTAGAATAGTGGTTTTTATTTCATTTCCCAGCGAGAGCCTAATTTTGTTGGCCTGTTTTGGATGTACAGGTCACAGGATCTGTGATTTTAGAGAATAATTGAGCATAATCCTGATGCTTCTGATCAAGAGCATCACTGAAGAACTCTTTTAAATAGAATTGCTAGTCTCTCTCTTAGTTATGTAATAGCTTCTTGTAAACATTGAAACTCCTGTATTTAAATCTCATGATTATTTTCTTAAAGTGAGATTTTGTGGACTTGGTCATTTCAATACTCAGAAAATTACTTCCTCTTATAGACTGGCTCCATATATGGGCCCTGTAAGTGGGAGTTTGGCATATTTTAGGAGCTCTTTTTAGGCCACTGGATCTGGAAGGTGGTTGCAGTGGGGGCGTAAGTGGGAGCTAGGGAAGAAGCTGGCAGTGGCTACCTCATGTGGGAATTTGATTCTCAGAGTTGGTGAGAACTCATTGAAGGATTTTAAGCTAGAGATTGAATTTGTATTTAAAAAGATCACTTTGAATTTTTGTTGAATACATGATAGTGCTGAAGTGGAATAGAGAACACCTGGCTAGGAGACCACTGCAGAGTGGCCAGGGTCGGAGATCATGAGCCTTGATGGGACGGGCATATTACAAGTGGGGAAAGAGGGGTGGCCTTGAGGTGTATTTCTTGGGTAGATCCAACATGACCTGCTGTGGTGAGTTGGCAAGAGTGACCAGGATTAAGGGGAAAAGAAGGGAGGATGACTCATGTTTCTGGCTCAGCAGTGCCATTAGTTGGGAGGGACCCCGGAAAGATAGGGTTGGAATTGTGACATCAGAGCTTCTTTTTCAGGCATCCAAGTCTAAGTACCTTGCCCAAAGTCTGGTCCACAAAAGATAATCAGCTCCTTCACCCACCACCAAATCCAGCTGCACATTATTTCACTTCATTTTATAACGAAGTAATTATTCTAGCCATTGGGAATGTATACAGTAGCATCATTGAGGTCAAAAAGTTAAAGTGACATTCGCTAGATAGCCAGTAGACCAGTGTGATTGACACCATATTTTGGGTGCATCACATATTGCAGTGAAAACAGCACTAGGATTTCATTAACATTTTATTTATTTTTTTCATTAATGTTTTAAAATACGAAAGATTTTTGAGGTATCCACTTGTGTTTGTTTCTGTTGTGGGCTCCTTACAGAATGAGTAAGCTAAGGTGTCTGTGTTCCCAGCGATCTGTCTTAGACTTAGACAATCATGGGCTTTTACAGCATGTCATTAGCTATTGGTTGACTTGGTAAGGAAAGGAAAATTTGTATGAATAATTTAGAACTTTAGACCAACATTGCCTGACAGACTCTCTGTAGTAACAGAAATGTTCTGTACCTGCTTCATCTAATATGGTAGCCTTAGGCAGACATTTCTTTTTTTTTCTTGGAGAGAAAAAGAAATGCGAAAAGGCAAAATGGTTGTCTGAGGAGGCCTTACAAGTAGCTGTGAAAAGAAGAGAAGCCAAAGGCAAAGGAGAAAAGGAAAGATACACCCATTTGAATGCAGAGTTCCAAAGAATAGCAAGGAGAGATAAGAAAACCTTCCTCAGGGATCAGTGCAAAGAAATAGAGGAAAACAATAGAATGGGAAAAGACTAGAAATCTCTTCAAGAAAATTAGAAATACCAAGGAAACATTTCATGCAAAGATGGGCACAATAAAGGACAGAAATTATATGGACCTAACAGAAGCAGAAGATATTAAGAACAAGTGGCAAGAATACACAGAAGAACTGTACAAAAAAGATCTTAGTGACCCAGATAATCACGATGGCGTGATCACTCACCTAGAGCCAGACATCCTGGAGTGCGAAGTCAAGTGGGCCTTACCAAGTATCACTACGATCAAAGCTAGTGGAGGTGATGGAATTTCAGTTGAGCTATTTCAAATCCTAAAAGATGATGCTTTGAAAGTGCTGCACTCAATATGCCAGCAAATTTGGAAAACTCAGCAGTGGCCACAGGACTGGAAAAGGTCAGTTTTCATTCCAATCCCAAAGAAAGGCAATGCCAAAGAATGCTCAAACTACTGCACAATTGCACTCATCTCACACGCTAGCAAATGCTCAAAATTCTCCAAGCCAGACTTCAACAGTACGTGAACCGTTAATTTCCAGATGTTAAGCTGTATTTAGAAAAGGCAGAGGAATGAGAGATTAAATTGCCAACATCTATTGGATGATNGCTATGGTTTTTCCAGTAATCATGTATGGATGTGAAAGTTGGACTATAAAGAAAGCTGAGCACCGAAGAATTGATGCTTTTGAACTGTGGTGTCGGAAAAGAGCCTTCAGATTCCCTTGGACTGCAAGAAGATCCAACTAGTCAATCCTAAAGGATATCAGTTCTGAATATTCACTGGAGGGACTGATGCTGAAGCTGAAGCTCCCTTACTTTGGCCATCTGATGCAAAGAACTGACTCATTTGAAAAGACCCTGATGCTGGGAAAGATTGAAGGCAGGAGGAGAAGGGGGTGACAGAGGATGAGATGGTTGGATGGCATCACCGACTCAGTGGACATTAGTTTGAGTCAACTCCAGGAGTTGGTGATGGACAGGGAGGCCTAGTGTGCTACAGTCCATGGGGTCGCAAAGAGTCAGACACGACTGAGCAACTGAACTGAACTGAACTGAGGCAGACATGTCTCTTGAGCTCTTGAAATATGGCTTGTGTGACTGAGGAAATGAATTTTTTATTTTATTGTTATTAAGTTAAATATTTGCATGTGGCTTATAGCTACGGTATTGAAAAGCACCTTTAGGCAATCAACTATATGCTTATGGAATATACTTGTCTTTTTAAAAAATAGCTCTTTGTCAGTTTTACATAAGCTCACTTAAAATGACTTTGTGTTTCCCTTTCATATACCAGTATGTCACAGATCTAGATACGTGTGGGAAAGGTAACTTTAGATCATAATTTTCTGTGGACATAGTGTGCTTACGCATATTTTAAAGCTGATTAAGGACTTCCCCAGCAGTCCAGGGGTTAAGATTCTGCCCTCACCAGTGCAGGGGCCACAAGTTCGATCCCTGGTCAGGGAGTTAAGATCCCACAAGCTGCATGGTGCAGCCAAAAAAAATAAATAGATAAAAAGCTGATTATGTTAAAGAGACATTTTTGGCAATGGTACAATCATTAAATACTTAGGTTGTGTGAAACATGTGTGGCTGGTTCTGTTTCCTCACTCGTACAGTGAATCAGATGTCCCAATAGACGTGGAGACAGTCATATCCACCCCAGTGCCGCTCTACGACAATCAGAAGGCACGCAGTGTGATGAATGAGTGTGAACGGCACGTCATCTTCGCCAGGACCGATGCAGATGCCCCTCCCCCGCCTGAGGACTGGGAGGAGCATGTCAACAGGTAGGTTGCTTCTGAGAGGACTGAGCACTCACTACAGGGTTCATGGTCAGTGCATTGTAAATATCTTGTATCGTTGTCATTGAAACATATTTTTAGGAGTTTATTTCATTTGCAGCCATAGGAGTCAGAATGTTCTCCTGTCTTTGTAACTCTCAGCTCATTCTGCAGTGGGCTCCCTGGGAGGAGAGCTTGTGTCTCAGCCATCTTTGCATCCCTGACACCTCGGACATTGCCTGGCACATAGTAGGCAAGTAGTGTTAACTGAAAGTATAAATGAGTCAAATTTGATAGGTGTGACTTGCTCTGTAGTGTATATAGTACACGTTATGATACGGGGGTTAGCCAGACTACCAAAAAAGATTAAATGTCCATTTGTATGATACTTGTACTTATAGTGTCTATAACTAGAGTAGTGAAAATATTTTGGAGTCGTATGAAAGGCTAATAGATGTTTGACTTGAGTGACTTTTAAAGATAGGTTTGTAGTCTGTGGTTTTGGGGGAGCACCTCAGCCTGTTTTCATGAGTTTGCTGGCTAGTTTTGCTCTCTTATGTCCTGCTGACCCTGGGGACTCAACATTCCTCTTTAGGTCATTCGTTGTTGTTTGTTTGGCAAACATTTGTTTATCTTGTATTTGTTGCATAAAACTTTATGAAAGTAAAATTTACGTAGCATACAATTCACTTATACAATATGTACAACCAGTGATTTTTAGTATATTCATCTCTGCAGTCAATTTGATGAACGTTTTCCTTACCCTCTAAAGAAACTCCTTACCTGTTAATGGTCACTTCCCATTTCCTCCCAACCCCTGGCAACCACAGTCTACTTTCTGTCTCTCTAAACTTACCTTTTCAAAACATTTTATAGAATCATACAGAACATGGTCTTCTGTGACTGGATTCTTTAACATAGTGTAATGTTTTCAGGACTCATCCATGTTGAAGCATGTGTCAGTGGTTCATTCCTTTTTAATGCTGAATAATATTCCACAGTACGGAAGTGCCACATTTTGTTTATCCATTCATCTGTCGATGGATATTTGGGTTGCTAATGGTTTTTTGGCTACTGTATATGAATAATGTCACTGTGATATTCATTTACTTGTTTTTGTATGGATTTACATTTTCATTTTTCTTGAATATATACCTAAGAGTGGAATTGCTGTGTCATATGATAACTTGTGAGAAATCTTCAGGTTCTTCTCCCAAAGGACTACATCATTTTGCATTCCCACCAGCAGTGTATGAGCGTTCCAGTTTCTCCACATCTTTGCCAACATTTGTTTTTCATCTGTCTTTTTCTTATTATGACCATTCTAGCATGTGTGAAATAACATCTCATTGTGGTTTTAATTTACATTTCCCTCATGGCGCTCTCTATATGTATTTATCTTCTAAGGGAATGTTAAGGTCTTTACATCAGGAGTTGGAAAGTAGTAAACGTGCCATAATGTTGGAGGGCGCTTACTTTATGATAATGGAGGAAAAAGAAGTAATTTGGTAGGAAGAAGGGCAGGAAAGTTCCAGGCTCGTTGGAATGGTTCATGAGTTTGGTTGGAAGCAGGGAATGACGTTGAGCTGGTATGCCTGTGTGATCAGGTGGTGGCTGGTGAGGGTGGAGCAGTTCTGCACCCTGGTTGAAGATCTTGTGGAGAAGTTCTTCGGGGTCTTGAATTGGAATTAGTCTTGTGCCCTAAGAAGGGGAAATGCTCTCTAGAGCTTCAGATAAAGAGGAACATTGCTGTGAATGAAGATCAACTACTAGAATATTGCCAGGGTCAGAGTTCAGCAAAATTGTTTATCACCATTGTTACAGTTAATAACTGTCAGAATACTGACAGTGGTAGTAACAAAAGAGAACTCAGGTTTGTCACGTGCTTTCTAGGTGCCAGGCATGGTACCAAGCGCCTCACACGCGTTGTCTCTCTTAAACCTCACAGCTCCCCTGGGCGCATCCCTTCTGTGTCTGCTTTAGGAGTGGAGAGACTGAGCTCCGGGAGAGGAGGGGCCCTTAGGAGGTGGTGCAGCGGGTTGTCAGAGTGCGCAGTCTGACTGGGGCCCATGCTGGCCCCTGCCGTGCCTTTTCTCTAAGGGCAGTGAAAAGAGACCAGTGATGGCCAGACAGGGTGACTTCACACAGATATGTGTCCTCGTTGTGTTATTGCTGCCTTGTCCTCAGTCTGCAGTTTCAGAAACTGCATAGGAGAATTGCATGAATTTTTCTATCAGTTCACCCTTGGTCTGGACAAAGGGTTTTGGGTGCACTCGTCACTCTTACCAAAGTCATCAGAGACTTAATAATACGTATGAATGCCAGTTTCTTAATTTATAAGGAGAGATCCAGCTGCACGGCAGATGAGATCCTGGGGCAGCCTGGCCCAGAGCCTTGATGCTCGATAGGAGAGTCTGGGAAGCTGTTCTCTTCCAGAGGTGGATGGCTGGTGGACCATCTGCACAGGAGGTGCCCTCCTTCAGCAGGGTAGCTGGATGACAGTAGGCCAACAGTAGGCTGGGCACACCTTCACCTGCCCAGTCCTGGAGAAAAACAGACAGATGCTACTCTTTGGCTCCTCTTTCTCCATGTGGACCTCCATACCTGTGTTAAGCCATTGCCACAGACTGATATGATTAATTAGTTTATCTCAGATTATATGCTTTTTAGTGTCTGATGAGATTTTGGAGGCATCCTTCTCTCATTAGCAACAGGCTTACATCTTCAGGTACGTCACTGTTGCACACAGCTAATTTCATTATTTGATGATACTGGCTTCAGTCTGAGAGGTCACCATTTTTATGACCTCGTCCACAAATTCTGGATCTGTAGCCCGTTTGGAGGTTGTAGTTAGTTCTCTCTGCTCTGATTATTATCATCTGTTGCCATTCTTTCACTTGATTTTATTGTTAAATTGCTACTTCTTTTCTTCCATGTATAAAATCATGTAAAATTACAGTTTGCTACATCAAGAACTCATATAGGACAGCTCCCTAGATATGTATTTTTGCTCAGAGAGATAACTGATCTATCAGGGAGTCAGAAACTTAACTTTTCTTTTTTAGTGCCCCATTTTGCCCTCCTGAATTATTTCAGTAGCAGATAGCTTTGGACCACTTCTTTTTTTTGGCTGAGCCACGCAACGTCAGGATCTTAGCTCCCTAGCCAGGGATCGAGCTCATGCCCCTGCACTGGGAACATGCAGTCCTTACTACTGGACCACCAGGAGGTCCCCAGATAACTTGCTGTGTTTAGAAAACGCATCCCCCCACCCCAGCTGACTCTGGGTTTCTCTAGTGATGCCTGATCTTCCATGAAACATGATTTTAAATATCCCTCTCTTCTTGATTTAATTGTCTAGATCAGGGGTTGGCAAACTATGGCCTGTGTGCCAAATCCAGCCCATTGCTTGTTTTTCTATGATCCATGAGCTAAGAATGGATTTTACATTTTTGAGTGGTTGAAAAAAAATCAAAAGAAGACAGAAGGAATTCAAAATTCAGGGTACATAAATACAGTGTTATTAGAACACAGTCATGCCCACTCATTTAGGTATTGTCTGTGGCTGCTTTGCACTACAATTGTGGAGTGAAATAGTTGTGACAGAAACTCTAAAATATTTAGTATCCAGTCCATCATATAGAAAAAGTCTGCTGACTCCTGGTCTAGATTATGTTTTTGTGTCTGCATGCCAAAATCGTGTGACTCGGTGAACTTTTGAAAATGATATATGTTTGCAGGTATGGTGATGTTTCCCAAAGAAGTTGGACCAGCTTTTTTTCCCCAGATGTTTGTCAGATACCTAATTAGATGCACAGCTTTTCAGAGACATGTAACAAAATACTCGTGACATGGTACTTCAGGACCTTGCTCAAATGGATTCTAGGACATGGCCAGCATTTCAGTAAAAGCATCTAGTGTCCTACAGCAGATTGTCTTATCTTAGAAATCGGAACCTCTGAATTCAATTAAAAGATATTCTCCTTTTCTGAATTTGCTCTAATTGTATCTCTCAGTATTGTATGTATAATATCTATGTGTTAATATCGGACGGATGTTTGAAATTTCTATTCAAGACCTTTGAGTTGTTTATTTTCCCTCACTCTTTCCCCGTCATTCCTCTTCCTTTCTCCTGGTATTTAAGCAAAGAATTTTATGATCTGAGAAAGTAAGTGTGACCTTTTTCTTCTCTCTGATGTTCTTTATTTCTCTCTGCTTGACTTCTGGTTAAAGAGAAAAGATCCCTTTAGACATTTTAATATTGAATTAGTGTCAGAGAAGGAATTATCTTTGAAAATACCAGGCTCTTCTAGGACTGGTGTGACTTTTTGGCTGCTTTGGATAAGAGAAGCCAGAAGTCAGAATGTCATTCAGTTTCATTGGGAGTGTGGAGAACATAAAATTGTCTGATCTCATCTAAGCAATGGAGAAAAGACATTTTTGTACTCATGAAAATTGAATAGGTTTAGATGGGGGAGTATATTGACTCACCACAGTTCCCATCAGCTGTTTGACTGTTTAGACTTGTATCTAAAATTCTGTCTCCTGTTTTTAAATTTTTCCTTAATTATATCTTTTGCATACTCTTAATCTTCGGTTAGATCATTTTTTTCTGCCCATTTAATTTTCTACCCTCCCATGAAGCTCACAAAATACAGAGAATATGTTTCAGTTCTTGGAATCACTTTGTTATATATCCAGCAACAATCCTAAGAACTTTTTCTGGGGGTTTTAGACTCATTGTGGTTTTTCAATTTAATTTCAGCTGTCAGTGGTGTATGGTAGTAATTTCTAAATAGCTTTCTAGTGCCCCTCCCGTTTTGTTCACATCATTTTCCTTGCTCCCATCATTTTGGGTTTCAGAATAAATACAGGGTAAGAAAAACAAGTAGAGAAAACATTCTGTTGTGTGATAAAGAACAAGATAATTTTGGAAATGCTGTCGGTACCTCATAAGTGAAAAATTATATACACCTCATTCTCTGTCCTTGGGATTAGGGTTTGCAACCTGATTGATAGGCTTTGAGAAAGCTCAGGAGATCTTTGAACATAAAGAAATTGTATTCGTTGTTTAACCTGTTTGATTATCACTGAGCATTATTGCTGGGGCTAAGCGCTCACTCGCTCTATCTTGTCTGACTCTTTTGTGACCCCGTGGACTGTCGCCCGCCAGGGTGCTATGTCCGTGGGATTTCTCAGGCAAGAATACTGGAGTGGGCTGCCATTTGCACCTCCAGGGGCTGGGAGTAAGGCTGCAGTGTAATACCGCTTTCAAGATTTTGCAGGTTCTTTATACATAATATTTGCACAGAACTGGAAATTCTAAAATTTTAACACAGATCTTTCATTTCCACTTCAAGAGATTTATCCTGCAGAGAGATTTGCATGACCATGTGAAGATGCGGAGAGATGTGTATATGAGTGTATTGGGGAGAGGTGGGGTTGTCACTGTGACTGTTCATAATAGTAATAAAAGGGACAGAACCTCAATGCCCACCAGTAGGGTAGAACCAGCCATTAAAAGCAAGGAAGTTTATTAATAAGGAAATATCCATGTATCTCCAGAGAGCTTTTTATAACTACTTGTGGACGTGTTTGTCTCCTCCCACCACCACCAAAACCCAAGCCCACCAGAGAATCACTATACATAAGAGAAGTGCTACTTGTGTTAGTGTGTAGTACCTTTAAATAACGTAAAGGAAGATAAGATTATGAACCAGTGGGCTGGTGATGCTAGTTCACACAAGCCCTCCTGGTCCCAAGGTATCCTGAGCCCCAGCCTTGAGTAAAAGCTTCTACTCCCCCATCTTCCACACCCACAATCTCCATGAATATCAACCACAACAAAAACTGATTAGATCCTGATGAAGTAGCAGAAATTAAGCCAGGAGAGCTATGGGAAAATAAGAAAAAGGACAATTCCAAAAAACCTGAGATGGCTGCTGGTACCCCACAAGGGGTTTATAAAAGGATGAGAGGCTTTGAAGGTTAAGACCGGCTTTAGCTGTGGCAACACAAAAGCTACTAAAGATAGAGGGCACTTCTAAAGAAAGAATTCTGTGATCATGGACTTGGGGTGCTGTCATAGAACTTTTACTCCCATCAGTAATCGTAGCTAGCCTGAGTTTTATAGATCATCTTGTCCATCTCTTTTGCAGTCAAGGAGACTAAAGGCACACAGCCAGCTCCTGGCTCATAGCTAGTGTTTTCCTGGACTTTGCGACTGTGGTAAGTTGTAAAACTGGAGACATAACGTGGTAGGTGGAGATTGTATTTTACAGAAGGAAAGGAAGCTGGACTGTTATTTTCCTCCTTTCTGGAGGGTATTTACTCTTTGCAAGGATAGTGAAATGATGGTTAAAGTTGGAAGCAATGTTCTTGTGGCCCAGGCACCCTGATCTGGTGAAGGGCTCTATTTACAGTTGCCCCGCGTGATGTATCAGTGTTGCACTGCTCCTCAGGACCTGGGCACCTACTGTGGTAGGGAGTGCGAGAGTTTGGATTTGTTCTCTGCTGTTCACAGGATTTAGAATGTAGTGTGCATACAGTTCCTCCATGTCTATCTTCAGCAGATGTTTAAAGTCCCTGCTGTGTGTCAGACACTTTTAAAACAGACAAAAGTCTTTGCCGTCTTGGCCTTTACGTTCTAGCAGAGGGAGACAAACCGAACATTTAAATAAAACAGATAGAATGTGAGGTGGGGATAGGGAATCCCAAGGTGAGAGTCAGGTGTTGGCAGTTTTAAGTAGGGGTACTACTTGTGTTAGTGTGTAGTACCTTTAAATAACGTAAAGGAAGATAAGATTATGAACCAGTGGGCTGGTGATGCTAGTTCACACAAGCCCTCCTGGTCCCAAGGTATCCTGAGCCCCAACCTTGAGTAAAAGCTTCTACTCCCCCATCTTCCACACCCACAATCTCCATGAATATCAACCACAACAAAAACTGACTAGATCCTGATGAAGTAGCAGAAATTAAGCCAGGAGAGCTATGGGAAAATAAGAAAAAGGACAATTCCAAGAAACCTGAGATGGCTGCTGGTACCCCACAAGGGGTTTATAAAAGGATGAGAGGCTTTGAAGGTTAAGACCGGCTTTAGCTGTGGCAACACAAAAGCTACTAAAGATAGAGGGCACTTCTAAAGAAAGAATTCTGTGATCATGGACTTGGGGTGCTGTCATAGAACTTTTACTCCCATCAGTAATCGTAGCTAGCCTGAGTTTTATAGATCATCTTGTCCATCTCTTTTGCAGTCAAGGAGACTAAAGGCACACAGCCAGCTCCTGGCTCATAGCTAGTGTTTTCCTGGACTTTGCGACTGTGGTAAGTTGTAAAACTGGAGACATAACGTGGTAGGTGGAGATTGTATTTTACAGAAGGAAAGGAAGCTGGACTGTTATTTTCCTCCTTTCTGGAGGGTATTTACTCTTTGCAAGGATAGTGAAATGATGGTTAAAGTTGGAAGCAATGTTCTTGTGGCCCAGGCACCCTGATCTGGTGAAGGGCTCTATTTACAGTTGCCCCGCGTGATGTATCAGTGTTGCACTGCTCCTCAGGACCTGGGCACCTACTGTGGTAGGGAGTGCGAGAGTTTGGATTTGTTCTCTGCTGTTCACAGGATTTAGAATGTAGTGTGCATACAGTTCCTCCATGTCTATCTTCAGCAGATGTTTAAAGTCCCTGCTGTGTGTCAGACACTTTTAAAACAGACAAAAGTCTTTGCCGTCTTGGCCTTTACGTTCTAGCAGAGGGAGACAAACCGAACATTTAAATAAAACAGATAGAATGTGAGGTGGGGATAGGGAATCCCAAGGTGAGAGTCAGGTGTTGGCAGTTTTAAGTAGGGGTGAGTCGGGGGAACCCTCAGTAGAAGGTGACGTCTGAGCAAGAACCTGGCCGTTGGAGAGGGAGCCGTTGTTTCAGGTGGAGGGAGTGGGTGGCTAGGGCCTGGTCTGTGCGGTGGGAGCACGCAGGATGTGTGGGGAGATAAGGAAGGGGCAGTGCGGAGAAGCATGGTGAGCTGGGGGCTGTCATGAGGATGAGGTTGGAGAGCCAGGGGGTCCCACACAGCCCATGGCAAGGACTTTGACTTTCAGCTGCTGAAATGGGCTTGGCTCGCAGTTGTCACAGTCCTACTTACTTTATCCCAACTGATGTGGGGTGCTACCTTGATGTCATTCCAGGTTCTCATTTGGGTCTGGCATCCACCTAAATTTTTTAAAATGAGATTTAATCACCAGTTTATTTTTATGGCAGGGAGAGTTGGTAAACAAATACTGAAACAAATTGGGCGTCTTCTGTTACCTTTTTCTTGGTATCTGTAGGAAGATTACTGGCCAGAGTTGGAGTCTCAGAGTAATTAAGGTTGTCAGGAGTGGGGTGGAGAGGGTAAAGCGTTAGTCAGCTCTGCGCTGCTGTGCCGTGCATCATGAGGTTGGGACGAGCAATAGGGTAGGTTTCTAACAGCAGGAATTTATAGCTGAGTTGGAGGAGGAACCATAAAGCCTTCCATAAGGAAGGAAGTGTGTCAACCAGGGCCACACCCTGGATGTACAGAGTTAACTTAGATGGAGCAGTTGTTGTATGGCAGAAACTAACACAGCATTGTAAAGCGGTTATCCTCCAATTAAAAACAAATTAGAAATGCATAACTTATTTTAAAAATTAAAAACAGTAAATTTGTTAATTGTGTGATATACGGAAAAAATCATGGAGAAAGAAGGGAGGTTAATGAGGGGTGGATTATGTAGGAGTGGGAGACCAGCCACTTGGTTTTGTTGTATTTTTGTCCCTAACACTGATGTAAGTAGGCCTCTTATCTTAGTGTGAGGTTTTAGTGCACTAAATGCTTCCTCATCCTGTCTACCTTTTTTGAGTAACTTGTGAAATTCAGGTACGTCTGTGCAGTGCTGCCATGCTTTTGTTTACTAACGGATTATTTTAGCTGCTGGGTAATTAATGAGCTTTGCTAGAACCACAAAGGCATAATTCCTGGTGACCCAGCAGTAAAGAATCTGTCTGCCAATGCAAGAGACACAGGTTCAATCCCTAGGTTGGGAAGATCTCCTAGAGAAGGAAATGGCAGCCCACTCCAGTATTCCCAACTGGAAAATCCTATGGACAGAGGAGGCTGACACGCTACAGAGTTGGACACGACCCAGTGACTAAACAACAAACAGAGCCCCACAAAGACTTGTTGTGTGTGTATTAACACATATGCTGAGGTGCCTTACTGGCAGGATTGGGGCCAGAATCTGGATGTTGTGCTTTAGCTTAGTACTCAGCTAGTTGGAGTTACACTGTTTCACAGTGGGAACAGAAATCATGACATAATCTTCTTTGCAGTGTACTGGCGTGGGGAGTGTCACTGGGGTTTGACTCTTAATTCCTCAGAGTGTCTCCTACAGGACTGGCTGGACCCTGGCCCAGAACAAGCTATTCAACAAGATCCTCAAAGCCCTGCAATCTGACCGGCTTGCCCGCTTGGCCAATGAAGGGGTAAGACTCCAGAAATCTGCCCCCGGCGGGCTTTCCCTTGCTCAGGCCTCTCTGATTGACTCATCTGTTGGGCACCCCCCCCCCTGCCCCCCGGTTGCTAACAAGGTGGCCCTCAGGCTGTTCCCTCTGCTTCCACCGTCAGGCTTGTAATGAGCCCGTGCTGCGTCGTGTTGCTGTGGACAAGTGTGCGAGGAGAGTGCGTCAGGCCCTGGCCAGTGTGAGCTGGGACACCAAGCTGATCCAGTGGCTGCACACCACCCTGGTGGAAACCCTGAGTCTGCCCATGCTGGCAGCCTACCTGGATGCCCTGCAGACGCTGAAAGGGAAGGTGAGGCAGTGATGGGCGTCTGCCCTGTCCTGGGGTAGCCGACCTCTGCTGTGGATTCGGGAAACGGGATTGGGCCGGGTCATTGCCTGGTGAGTCTGGAGGACGTGACTGAAGCTGATGTGCTTGCTGTTGAGAACAGGAGACGTGGTGTCATTTCGCGTTTTCATTTGGCATAAATGTCTTCAGCCCTCCTGTCTAGGGTGAGGTGTGGCACCCCAAAGCCGAGAACATGTTTAGCCTCTGCAGCCCTGCAACTTGTGGTTTGAGGTGAGGTGAGAAAGGAGAAGACAGATGAAGGGTTTACCGGGGAGGAGTGTTGGGAGAGGAGGAAGACGCAGACTCCCGTGGAGCTGAGGGCGTGGGGTGGGGCAGGGGAAGGTGCTGGGTGCGAGGAGGACAGGGGCCGACGCCTCGGTCTCTCCTCTCTCTGACCAGCCTTCGGTAGCAACACTCGGACTTTAATCATTCTTTATAAAACATCGTTACACTTCCCCACTTTCTTACTTAGACAGTATTGCAGTCACACTGCTTTCCTTTATGACTGTAGTTTACTGTGGTTGTAGTTACTGCACTGGACTGTGTTCAGTGTGATGAAGTACTGGTTCTGGATGCAGACTGCCTGGCTGATCCTTTCATGACTAATTAGCTTTGTAATCTTGGGTTAACACCTCAGTTTCCTCATATCTAAAAAATGGCTGATTATAATAATACCTGCCTTGGACTTTGTGATAATTTGTTAATCTGGATAGAATGCTTGGCACAAAGTTTGGCACATAGGAAACCCAGGGTAACTGTTAGTGATTTATAAGTGGTACCATTATATTTAGTGTGCTTTTTGCTCCAGCATGTCCTCAGGTAACTTGGATTAATTCAGTTTTTTACTTTTGTGGGTTTTTTCTCCTTTGCAAGCAGCTGGCCAGCAACTTTCCCCATCCGTATTCCCCAAATTTCCAGACTTACTGTTTACTATCTGTTTGTAAGTTGAAGGATGCTGAGTTTGTTTGAAAGCAAAAGAAGACTGGTTTAGCTTCTGGAAATAAAACTCAGGACTAGATGCATTAATGAAATGTATGGTAGGAATTTGACATTAATTTATACATTCTGCCTTTGGAAAGAGAATAGCATCAGTGAATCTGCTCTAGGGGACCAGTGCAGTCCTGCCCAGAGTCCACTTCCCTGCTTCTCTTTGTGTGCCCAGTAGGCCATGGAGGTCTTTTTCCTCATAGTGAAGTTGGCACTGCCTTCCAGCTGAAGGCATTGTCTGGATGTTCCCAACAAATACGTGTTCTGTGCCTCCGGTGTGCCGGGTGCTCCTCTGATGGAGCCGATCTTCTTATGGAGAGAGAGACAAATGGAAAGATGGCCCCAGACTCCCCTGCGCCGCTCCTCTGCAGTGGCCACCCTGGCTCACGCGTGAGTGGGGGCGGCAAGGGCACAGGGTGGATATGGAGCCAGGACAGCCCCTGCCAGAGGGCAGCGGCTGTAGTCCAGCATTCTGCCTGTGGAAAGAGAACAGCGTTGCTGAGTCTGCTCTGGGGGACTGCTCTGGGTGTAGTCGTGCCCAGAGCCCACTTCTCAGCTTTCCTTTGCATGCCCAGGATGCCTTGGAGGTCATTTCCCTCAATGAAGTGGCACTGCTTTCCAACTGAAGTTATAGTGTGGGTGTTCCCAAGAGAATGAAGTAGTGTTCAGATTTATGGAGCATCACGGACCACTGGCGGCACTCCACAGGCGTTCCTGGTGCGTGCTGCTGCTAAGTCACAGTGTGGGTCAGCTGGGGTGGCAGAGGACGCCCACTTAGCAAGGGCCCAGACTGCAAGGTGCTGTTCTGCACTCAGCGGTATCTCTCCTGTCAGGCTCTCATTTTCCCATGACTGTTAGATTCACAGCACATATTTAAGTTGTTCCCCAAACTTCTAATGTACCTGCTGGTTGAAATTGTCAGTGAATGGGGTCACGCTCTAGGCCCAGTTTCTTTCACCATCAGACCTGCTATAAAGGGAGCAGAGAAGCTATGGGCCCATCCTCTTCATTGTCTGCTGAAAGTGATCCTGTCCTGGAGAGATCAGGGATGCTTGGTCTGCCTAGCTTCATTCAGACAGAGGAGTCTAAGTGTTCTGTATTTACAAAAAAGTGAGCTTCAAGGCTTTGTCATTTCAGAGGTATACTCTACTATGTGTGTGTTTGTGTGTGCACGCACACACGCTGTGTGCTCAGTCATGTGGGCTGCGATCCTGTGGGCTGTAGCCCGCCAGGCTCCTCTGTCCATGGGATTCTCCAGGCAAGAGTACTGGAGTAGGCTGCCATTTCCTCCTCCAGGAGATCTTCCCGACCCAGGGATGGAACCTGCATCTCCTGCAGTGGCAGGTGGGTTCTCTCCCACTGAGCCACTGGGAGAACTGTCAGATAAAGTTTTTAAAACCTAGTCTTCAGTCAGATCCTCCACCTCTAGGTGTTGAGTGGCTCACAGTGACAAAATATCTATTAGTTTTAAAGAAACACCCGGTTTAGGGTGAAGATCCTTTGCAGTTTGACACTGTCCTTTGTTACTAGCCTATATCCTCCTATTTCCTTACTTGAATTCTTGACTTCAGGCCATCTGTGCCTGGAGTGAGCCATGGACTTTCTTGCTTATATCTGGTGTCTGTTTAGAAAGCTTTTTCCCTATATTTTGTTGGAATTCTTCAGAGTGCATCTCACTTTGCATGCTGTATCTTCACTTCCCTCTTCTCTGTTGGATGGTTCAGATCACAGCAGTGAGTCTTCTGTTTCTTTATGGCACTTACCAGCCCCTCCTCTCTAGTTATTTGTGTGCTTGTCTTCATAGATTGTAGATTAAATTCCTTTGCAGTCAGCACTAGCCTGGTGCCTTGTAACAGCAGTGTTGCATCAATTTTTGTTTCCTGAGTTAAACTGAGACAGCCTCATGGTTAAATATTCCCCTCATTTTTTGTGCAGAGCTCTTTTTAGTCTTGCTCTTTTAAAATTAGAAACACTGTCCTTTTTTGTCATTTCCAGAAATAACTTATCTTCTTGTGCTATCTTCAAACTTTTTATTTTAATTGAAATATAATTGACATACAGGATTTCCCTGTTGACTCAGATGGTAAAGAGCCTGCCTGCAATACACTGTTTGATCCCTGGGTCAGGAAGATCTCCTGGAGAAGGAAATGGCAACCCACTCCAGTATTCTTGACTGGAGAATTCCATGGACAGAGGAGCCTGGTAGACTACAGTCCATGAAATCACAAAGAGTCGGACTCAACTGAGCGACTAACACACACACACACACAATTGACATTTATTGACAAGTACACAATACGTTTCAATATTTGTATGTGTGGTAAAGTGATTACCACAATGAGTCTAGTTAACATCTGTCACTGTACATAGTTAAAGAAATTTTTTCTTCTTCTGATGAGAATTTTTAAGATTTATTCTTGTAGCAGCTTTCAAATATGGATTATAGTATTATTAACTATAGTCATCATACTGTGTGTTATATCCCTTGACTTTATTTATTTCATACTTTTTTATCCCTTTTACCGATTTTACTAATCTCCCATCCCTTCCCTCTGAAAGCCACCAGTTTGTTTGTATCTATGAGTTTGGTTTTTGTTTTGTTTTTCCATATTCCACATACACATTAGATCATATGATATTTGTCTTTTTTCATCTGACTGACTTCATTTAGCACAGTGCCCTCAGGGTCCATCCATGCACATGGCAAGATTTCCTTTTCATGCATAATATTCCATTGTGTATATATTTGATGTTTTCTTTATCCATTCATCCATCACTGGGCAGTTAGGTTGTTTTCATATCCTGCCTATTGTAAATAATGCTACAGTGAAGATGGGGGTGCATATATCTTTTTGAGTTAGTGTTTTTGTTTTCTTCAGGTAAATGCCTGAAGAAATGGAATTCCTGGATTATGTGGTAGTTCTGTTTTAGGAGGAACGTCTGTTAGTGTTTTTCATAAAAGTTGTACCAGTTTACATTCTCACCAAAATGTACAAGGGTTTCCTATTCTCCACATCCTTGCCAGCATTTGTTAATGCCTGTCTTTTCTGATAATAGCTACTCTAACAGGTATGAGATGATATCTCATTGTGGTTTTGATTTGTGTTTCCCTGATGATTAGTAATTTTGAGCGTCTTTTCATGTATAGTATATAAGATCTGTATATCTTCTTTGGAAAAATGTCCATTCAAATCTACCCATTTCTTTTTTTTTTTCAAATCTACCCATTTTTTAATCAGATTGTTTTATTGGTGTTGAGTTGCATGAGTTCTTTGTGTATTGTGGATATGAACCCCTTATCAGATATGTGACTTGAAAACCTTCTCTCCCTTTCGGTACGTTGCCTTTCATCTTGTTGATGTTTTCCTTTGTCTTGCAGGAGCTGTTTAGTTTGTAGTTCCACTTGTTTGTTTTTGCTTTTGCTGCCTCACTTTTGGTGTCAGATCCAAGAAAATATTGCCAAGACTGACATCAAGGAGCTTACTGCCTATGTTTTCTTACAGATGTTTTCTGATTTTAGATCTTCATTCAAAATCTTTAATCCATTCTGAGTTAATTTTTGTGTATAAGGTAATATGATGGTCCAGTTCATTCTTTTGCATGTAGCTATCCGGTTTTCTCAATACCATTTATTGAAGAGACTGTCCTTTCCCCACTGTGTTTTCTTGGCTCCTTTGTCATAAATTAATTGACTGTACATGCCTGAGTTTATTTCTGGGCTCTCAGTTCTGTTCCATTCTTCTCTGTGTCTGTTTTTGTGCCAATACCATACTGTTTTGATTACTGTAATTTTGTCAAATAGCTTGAAATCAAGAAACATGATGCCTCTAGCTTTGTTCCTTTTTCTTAAGATTGTTTTGGCTATTTAGGGCCTTCTGTGGTTCCATACAAATTTTAGGATAATTTGTTCTATTTCTGTAAAAAATGCCATTGGAATTTTGATAGGGATTGCATTGAATTTGTACAGTATATTGTGTTTTGGGTAGAATGGACATTTTTACAATATTAATTCTTCTGATCTGTGAGCGTAGAATATCTCTTGTTTGTTTGTGTCTTATTCAGTTTCTTCAGTCAGTGTCACAGCTTTCAGGGTATGGGCCTTTTACCTCCTTAGTTACATTTAACCAGGGAAGCCCTAGTTAAATTTATTCCTAACTATTTAATTCTTTTTGATGCATTATAAATGAGCATGTTTTCTTAATTTCTCCATTATTATTTAGAAATGCAACAGATTTTTGTATATTGATTTTGTATCCTGCAAATTCACCAAATTCATGTATTCTAGTGGTTTTTCTGGTGTCTAGGGTTTGCTGTATGTAATATGATGTCATCTGCAAATATGTAGTTTCACTTCTTCCTTTCTAATTTGAATGCCTTTTAGTTTTGTTTCTTGCCTAATTGCCCTTGCTAGGACTTCCAGTACTGTGTTGAATAAAAATGGTGAGAGTGGGCCTCCTTGTCTTGTTCCTCATCCTAGAGGGAAAGCTTTCAGTTTTTCACTGTTGAGCTTAATGTTAGCTATGGGCTGAACTTTTCCCAACTGCATCACCATAGTAGTTTTTATTCTTATTTCTCAAAAAAATTTTATTTGTTTTTGGCTGTGCTGGGTCTTTGTTGCTGCATGGGCTTTTCTTTAGTTGTGGTGAGCGGGGCCTTCTCTTAATTGTGGACATTTTTACTTTTTGCGGGCAGTATGAGATTCACACAGACATTTCTTTTCAGTGGAAGCATCAGCAAGTCTGTAATCTATATTTACACATCTTTGAGATCGCATTTTTGGTAAATTGTAATGATGTAATGTGGAACCACTGATATGGAGAACAAACTAAAATTACACAGATTTTTCAGCTTCATTGGGGGTAGTTAGTGTCTCAAGCCCATGTTTTTCAAGGGTCAACTGTATACACAGTATAGTAGGCTATATTACTTGGTGCATAGTAACAAATTTCTTCAATACTCCAGAGCTTGAAGGCAGTATACTAGAAGAAAATGCAGAGTTTTATTTTGTTTTTAACTTACAAAATCAACTGATGTTCGTTGAGGAAATTTAGAAAATACAGAAGGAAAGGAAGAAACTTCATCATATCTCCATAAAGTTTATTATTAACATTTTGGCATGTTCTCTTATAGTATTTTTCTTAATTAGAGATGATTTTTATATTTTCTGTCTTACCTTTAACATTTTAGCAGGTGACTTTCCTATATTACTACAAACTGTTTTAAACATTTTAAATTTAATCCATAATATCTGATTATGTAGATAATTTGCTTAACCACTTCTTGTACATGCCTTTATGTTGTTTCTACTCTTTGACTATTACTGAGAATGAATTTATCTTTTGCTTACCCCCTACCCTCTGTGTGTGTGTGTGTGTGCACGTGCGTATGTGCGCACATGTGTTTCTGATACAGAGTTTTAGGAAAGGGATAGGAATAAGTTTAAGTCTCTCAATGCATATCACCAGATTGGTTTCCAAAGGACTGTATCCATTTACCTTTAATGATGGGACGTGTGTTTTTAGTCATCCTCTTGTTTGTACTTTTTCTTGTGAAAAGTCTGAGAGGCGTCGTTGGAATCTGTCCTTGGCTCACAGTGGGGCTGTGTCCTCCCACCTGACCCTGGTATTGGAGTCTCCTGCCTCACACTGGAAGCGTCTTTATTCTCCCTTGCTTCTAGATCCCCACCTTGATTGACCGGATGCTCGTGTCCTCCAACACAAAGACCGGGGCTGCGGGAGCTGAGGCCTTGTCCCTTCTACTGAAGAGGCCCTGGGACCCTGCCGTGGGGGTGCTTTCTCATAACAAACCAGTAAGTTGGACTTCACTATGGCCCGTGAAGTTTGTTTTAGATTCCAATCTCGGAACCTTGGCAAGAGGATAATAAATGGCATGTTTAACTGTGTTCACTAATAACTGGCTGTGTGTCATGCTTAACATAGTTTCCTGAGCAAATCCACATTGGTGAGGATGAGGTAGGTCGTGGGGTACGTGGGGTTCCGTGGGGGAGCCTCCCTCGCTCACTGGCTCTCTGATGGGGTCTTACTCTGTAGAGCAAACTCCCCGGCTCTCCTCTCATCCTCATCGCCTCCTCCGGGCCATCCAGTTCCGTGTTCCCCACCTCACGCCGCCACCGCTTCTGGCAGTCTCAGCTGTCCTGCTTGGGCAAGGTATGTGGGGGGCGGGGGGCGGCTTGAGAGGCCGACTCGGGCTCATTGCTCAGTGCACTTAGTACACTCCTTAGTGTACAGGAAGCGGGGGCCGAGATGCAAGGCGGATGAGCTTGATGTGGAGCATCCTCTGAGTCTCTGGAGTGCTGATGGTGCTTATCCAGGGTTGGAGGGTTTAGGGGAGGCTGAGCAGACTGGAGAGACGATAACTGGGGACTGAGCTCACGGCCTGGCAGCCTCTCTCTTTCCTTTAGGTCATCCCTGTCGCCACCCACCTGCTGAACAACGGGAGTGGAGTGGGAGTGCTGCAGTGTCTGGAGCACATGGTCGGGGCCGTGAGAAGCAAAGTGCTGGAGGTGAGGCTGCCCTCCGTCAGCTCCCCGCGGCACGCCCACATTCTGCGCCTGGCCACGGCTTCTGTCTCACTCTCTGCTTTCTCTCCCCACCAAGGTTCACGGCCATTTCCCCCACAAGCCCATCATCTTGATTGGCTGGAATACAGGAGCTCTGGTGGCCTGTCACGTAAGTAACCCCATCTTCTTCAGAGGTTGTCTGGGGACAAGCTGCTGCTGCTGCAGACAGCTACTTTTGAGCCAGACACTGTGTTGACTGCTTTGCCTGCATCCTTGGATTTTAAACTGTGGGAGACAAACTTTGTTTTTTAACTTTATTGTGAAAAATGTTAAGCAAAAATTTAAAGGGATGATGGACTAATGTAATAAACCCTTTGGGCTCCTCGTTAAGCCCTACCAGAAATCGGCTCAGAGCTGAGATCTTTTTCATCTTACCTCTGCCCATTTTTAGCTCCCTCCAGTTATTTTGAAAAAAAAAAAACAACAAAACACCAAGTATTTTGTTTATATATATTTTAGTGTGAAGCTAAAAGACACTTACTCCTTGGAAGAAAAGTTACGACTAACTAAGACAGTGTGTTAAAAAGCAGAGACATTACTTTGACAACAAAGGTCCGTCTAGTCAAGGCTGTGGTTTTTCCAGTAGTCATGTATGGATGTGAGAGCTGGACTATAAAGAAAGCTGAGCACCGAAGAATTGATGCTTTTGAACTGTGGTGTTGGAGAAGACTCTTGAGAGTCCCTTGGACTGCAAGGAGATCCAACCAGTCCATCCTAAAGGAAATCAGTCCTGAATATTCATTGGAAGGACTGATGTTGACATTGAAATTCCAATACTTTGGCCACCTGATGCGAAGAACTGACTCATTTGAAAAGCCCCTGATGCTGGGAAAGATTGAAGGCGGGAGGAGAAGGGGATAACTGAGGATGAGATGGTTGGATGGCATCACCGACTCAATGAACATGAGTTTGAGTAAACTCCAGGAGTTGGTGATGGACAGGGAGGCCTGGTGTGCTGCAGTCCATGGGGTCGCAAAGAGTTGGACACAACTGACTGAACTGAACTGAACTGGGCACTGTCTATTAAGTTCAAAAGGGAGAGGTTTTCTTCACATAAGGGATAAGAGTAGCATTTGTATTCTCTTAGTTGCATTTGTTCTTAGTGGAGGAAAAAGGAAGGACTCAAGCCTTGCAAATTGCCATGATGGAAGCATTAACCCTCCCATCCTCCCAGAGGTTCGGGTGGGGTCCCCTGAGGGCCCCAGGTCTCTCAGTGGTGGCTGCTGGTGTAACCAGACACCCTGTGTTCTGTCTTCTCACTGCCCTGCTGTGTGGCTGGTACACCTGTGTTGTCGCCTCGGGGGTCACCACCTAGGAGCTGTAGCAAGGGAGGAGGAGGCAGGACTGGCTGGTGGATTCTGGGTAGGATGTAGCTGTGGTGAAGTCAGTTGAGCTTGAGGCAGACCACGCCATCATTTGCAGGTGTCGGTGATGGAGTACGTCACTGCTGTTGTCTGCCTCGGGTTTCCTCTGCTTACCGTGGACGGCCCCAGAGGGGTAAGCGCGGGGTGTGCGGGTTGCCGGGTCACCGGCAGGCAGGAGGACGGGAGGACGAGCCTGCCCCTCCCAGGCTGCTGTCCAGGGACCGCAGCTGCCGGTGGACTGTCTTGAGTGGACTTGTGGGCAATGATCAGCAAGTATGAACTGGCTGACTTAAAACTGGGGCCTGTTTAGGATGTGGACGATCCCCTCTTGGATATGAAGACTCCAGTCCTCTTTGTCATCGGTCAGAACTCCCTGCAGTGCCACCCTGAAGCCATGGAGGACTTCCGGGAGAAGATTCGGGCGGAGAACAGCTTGGTGGTGGTTGGGGGAGCTGATGACAATCTCAGGTGGGTAGGGTCCCTGAGCGATGCCAGAGTGCCATGTTGGAAAGATGCTTACAAGGTGGTGATACAACTATGCCCAACCTAGTTCAGTGAAAGGGGGGCATTAAAAAACTTAAAAAATTTTTGGACTAAGATTTCTAAAATGACTGTACCAAAAAATTCTATGTAATGTTCACCCAGATTTCCCAAATGTTACCATCTTGCATAACCAAAAAAGTAATTATCAAAGCTGGGAAGTTAACATGGATATGATACTGTAATCTAGTTTACAGACTCGCGTTTCGTCACCGTGTCACTGACACTTCTTTCGTCCTGGACCGAGTCCAGATCTCACGTGGCTCTCGGTTGCTGTGCCTCCTCAGCCTCCTCTACTGGGACGCTGCTCCTCAGCCTGTCTGTCGTGCTTGGTACCTTTTAGGAGTGCTGTTTGTCGACGGTCCCTCAGGGCAGGGTTTGACTCTGTCTGGTGAGCAGGTTGAGGGCACGCTTCTGGCAGGAGTGCATGGGGCTCATGCATCCTTAGTGCGTCCTCGGGGCTGCCTGGTGTTGCTGTGTCTTGTTACTGGCGAGGTCACCGCTGCTCACGTAGTTAGGGTAGTATCTGCCAGGTTTCTCTACTCTTGATGTTTTCCCTTTGGAGTTAGTCGTTATCTGGTGGGGAGAAGATATTTCAAGATGCTGTAATCATAGTCTTTGCCATTGGGCTTACACTGGGGTAGGCATTTCTTTACAGTTTCTTCCTTATTGAGGATGAATGTGAACAAAGATTTTATTTGCATTAGGCATCCTTTTATATATTTTGGAGTATAAACAACCAGAGTTTGGAATTGATTTTAGGGGGGCATGTTTAGTCCTTGAGATGGCCATTCTTCCCTTCTGGGTCTGCCAGCGGGGCCTCTAGTTACATTTTCATGAAATGTACTGAGAAAGAGCTGGTGTCATTTGTCGGCCTCCTTTCCTACACTTAGGTGTTAGCTTCCTGTGACTGTTTTAACTGAGAGCTTAGGGTGAGTGCCTGTTCCCACCTGTCCTGTCAGTGTCTTACCCAGAGAGCCTCTGGAGAACTCCTCCTGGCCTTCGTCATCTGACCGTTTCTTGTGGACCCAGAGTCTAATCCTTGGGTGCTCAGGGCAATGCTTGCTTGTAAATACATTCTTTCTTGTTAATTCAGACATTCTTACCTGTAGGAGAATAGACTGTTGAGTCGTGGTGAGGAAGTGGGAGGGGTGAAAACGCCTTTCGTTAGAGTCGCATCGTGAGGCTGCTTGTGAGACATATTTGCATGGTGCCAAGGGTGCTGGACTGAGAGTCAGGAGACCTCAGTTAAACCCTTGGCTCCTTTGCTTGGGTAAATCGCTTAACTTCCGGGACTGGGTGTCCTCATGTGTAATACGAGCATGTTACATGACAGGGTTAGAGGCCAAAAACCAGTGAATTGGGGTCTCAGAATGTGGAGGCTCGGAATGTTGTTCTTCATCTTTTCACTTGGTGGCCTGTTTCTGTCTGTGCTGAGACCCCCAGGCAGAAGCCAGGGGATAATCAGTCTGGCTTTCAAAGAGGAGAATGCAGCCAGCTGTGGTCAGTTTCTCTGATCCCTTTAGAACTAACCTGTGGCCACCTTTCCTGGTAATCTCATTTCAACAGCACCCAGAAGTCTCAGGCTTTGGTACTGTCTTGGGGTACCTCAAGATGAGGTCTTAGCAATCAGATAGAGTTTACCTGTGAAGCCATAGGCGTAGGACTTCTGGAGTGAACAGTCCCAAGTACCTTCCGTGTTTTCTTTGGTTCATTACCTATGTTGCTTTGTGTCATCCCCACAACTCCATGAGGAGGTTAGGGTTCCTCATTTTGCAGATGTGGAACCTGAGGTCAGAGAGGTTGCAGACCTGCCTGTAGGCTACCTTTATCTTCCTTCTTGGGTTTAGAAAAGCAACACAGAAGAGAAACCCATTCTTTTTTTTTTCTCCATTTATTTTTATTAGTTAGAGGATAATTACTTTACAGTATTATAGTGGTTTTTGCCATACATTAACATGAATCTGCCATGGATTTACATGTGTTCCCCATCCCGATCCCCCCTCCCACCTCCCTCTCCACCCGATCCCTCTGGGCCTTCCCAGTGCACCAACCTCGAGCACTTGTCTCATGCATCAGCCTGGGCTGGTGATCTGTTTCGCCCTTGATAATATACATGGAGAAACCCATTCTTACTTACATTTGTCACTGTGGAATGTTTGGAAAGTAAACATTTCCTCTTTTTTGTCTCTTAGAATAAGCAAAGCAAAGAAGAAATCGGAAGGGTTGACTCAGAGCATGGTGGACAGATGCATTCAGGTACACAGTTGCTTTCCGTGGGTTTCTCAGCCGGGCTTGTCTGTGCCCTTTTAGGCACAGTCTCTTGGGCAGCATCCTTCTGACTCTTTGGAGGATTGGAGGATTGGGTAGCCCCTGGGGCCTTTGGGGGACCTAAGTCATAAGCAAAGAAAAGGGGGAAGGAGGGAGGGGAGGGCGAAGGAGAGTACTGATTTAACATGTGAGCAAAGTGGGTGGGGAGGAAGGGTTCGCTGAGGAGTGGTAAAGTGTGACCTCCCCAGAACGCCACCCCGCACCCTGGGCACAGGGCCTGGGCTCCTGTGGGTCCTGGCTGAGGGTAGGGCTTGTGCCGGGCTTTGTGAAGTAGGAGGGACAGCACACTGATTTCAAAGCTGGGGTGACTCCATTTTAGTAGGAACTGTTGGGGAGCTTCCTGAGGCCTGGGCCTCTCCTTGCCCTAGGACGAGATCGTAGACTTCCTGACTGGGGTGCTTACTCGTACCGAGGGGCACATGGGCTCCGAGCCTCGGGATCAGGACGCTGAGAAGAAGAAGAAGCCCCGAGACGTGGCCCGCAGAGACCTGGCCTTCGAGGTCTCGGAGAGGGGTAGTCGACCTGCATCACCAGCTGCCAAGCTGCCTGCCTCCCCCTCGGGCTCAGAGGTAACGCAGGCAGATGCGGTGCTTTTGCTGGGGAATCAGCAAAGTGGGTTCCTGTGCTTCCCGGGGAGGGCTGCTGGCCTTGCCAGGCCTTGGAGTTCCTACAGGGGGAGTCCCTGACTGGGGAACTCCAGGGGGGCTTGATGATTGATAGTCCATCCAAACGACCTTGACTTGGCCCTTGTCCTTCTCAATCTACTCAGGATCTCTCCAGTGTGTCCAGCAGCCCCACCTCCAGTCCCAAGACCAAAGTGACCACAGTGGCGTCTTCCCAGAAGTCCAGTCAGATTGGAAGCACCCAGCTGCTGAAGAGACACGTGCAGCGGACAGAGGCTGTGCTGACCCACAGACAAGCTCAAGGTGCGGCTGCCTGGCCCAGGAGCCTCTCTTGGCTTCTGCCTTCTCAGTTGACATCATGTGGCAATTGGAAAGTATGGGCACCTGCTGCTTTTTCCAGACATATTTGTCCATGCAGAATTAGGTTGTAATAAATACCGAGGGCTGTTTTCAAGGGCAAAATATGACACAAGGTCTATGCGTTGGTGTGACTGTGTGTTCCACTAATTATAACCTCGTCTTGGCATTTGGGCAAGTTCACCTTTATGAGCTGACTGCGTGTAAATTTGCCTCAGATATTTTTTCTGACTCCCAGTTGGGGAAGCTGTGTCTTCTCTTCAGGCCCAGCCTTTCCTGCAGTCTGGGCGGTCTCCGGGTCCTGCAGACAGGGGGCTGACCGTGCTCATCAGGTACCAGGGCAGCTCCAAAGCCTCGTGCCCGCCCTTGAGGAGTTAAGATTCCTGCACTGGGACTTCCAGTCATGTTTTTCAGGAATCTCTGGAGATAGGTTTTCAATTAGGCTGGGAAATACTTGTTCAGTTGAAATTAGAGTTTGGAAAGCAGGGACCGTGATGTAAGAAGCTGCTCTGCCCCACTTTCATCCAGTCAGCAGTCCTGAGGTGAGGCCTCTTGGGCCTGGGTCAGGAGCGGGCATCATCTGAGAGTCTCTGGCTGGGGAATAGGTGGCAGCCAGAGCTGGCTGTCAAGCAGACAGAGTCTTCCGCTGCATTTCTTCTAGTGGAGCCGCAGGGTCAAGACTTAGACCCAGGCCTCGTACAGGGTTGCCCGGAGGTGGTTGTGAGTGTGAGTGGATCGATGGGAGACACAAAAAGAGGCCAGGCCACTGAGATCCACATGGATGCTCTGTGACCCGCACCTTCCTCAGTGGTGGCCAGAGCCAAGTGGACACTGTTCCCTTCAGCTTTTGATGAAGAGAGAGACAGCAGTGTGTGATGTTTCTGGAGGCAAAGACTAGTCAAGGCTGGAAGGCCTTCTGCAAGGCTGACTGGGGAGCTGGGTGGAGAACGGGACCCAGAGCGGCACGGAGGAGAGCCACAGCACAGCCGCCTGGCACAGGCAGAGCTCACAGGCAGGGGGTGAGGACAGCTGGGGTTCCCGGGCCCTCGCCAGCGCCTTGCCCTCCTCTTGGCACTTGACTTGCTGTTGCTCATGGAGTCCGGGCCGTGGCCCCATGAGGCAGCTACATGCGTTATTTCCAGTTTATGGATGACTCCAAGGAGCTGCCAAGTGGCAGAATCGGGTTTCAAATCCGTCAATAATCCCAGGAAGAGCCCCTGTTGACCATCTTCAGAACACTTTCACACCTTTTCTTACTCCCTCTCTCTCTCCTTTCCCTGGCTGGCCGTGATTCTGTAATTCTTTCTGATTCATTCCAGCTCAGTTTGCTGCTTTTCTGAAACAAAATATGCTGGTGAGGAAAGCTCTTCCTCCCGGCACCTCCTCCTGTCTCTTTGGTGAGTATCACTCCTCGCCTGCACCCTCCGCGCGCTGCTTCTCTCCTCCCTCTCACCTCTTCTCAGCCCTGCTTCTCCCGTGTCTCTGACCCCCCCGGTCTCTCCACGTCTTTCTCTTTGCCCTGCTGTCCTTTGGCTCGCTCCGCAGTCTTTGCTTTCCCCGCTCGCTCTGACCACCGCTCACGGCGGTTTCCCCTTTTGTCCTTCTGTGTCTCGCTGTGGGCCTTGGCTCTGCTTCTCCCGTGTGCCTGTGGGCATTGCCTGCGAGCCTGCACCTCCCTGTGTTTCTCTCCTTGCCTCTGATTTCCTGCTTCCGTCCTGGTCTCTGCAAGCGCTGAGCAGCATAACTGTATCTCCTTTCCCTTTTGCCCTCCTCCCTGTGCTGATTCTGGTCAGCGCATTCATCCCCTGAGCAGTCCTTCCTTTCCGCTGACGGCGGCCTCACTGTGGTCTGGAGGTTCCCTGTGGCCCCACACCAGCCTCCCCATCACTCCCACCTCCCATTTTTCGTGTGAGTCCAGCCCTCTATTTCCTTCCTCCTGCCTTTCCGCCCCTCATTGCCTATGCTGACAAGGACTGGTCGTGCTTCTAAGTGTAAAGAGGAGGGCATCTGTGAGCAAGGCTGAAGGATAACTTAACCATCTGGGAGGCTTTGCTCTGTGCAGGATGTGTCTGTTTGATTTGGTGGACAGGGAGGCCCACGTGTGAACCGATGGCCTTTTTCAGTCCTGTTACCACTGACCTGGGGACTAGCCTGTGACATGGGCCCCTGTTACTCTGTTACTTCAGGGCCAGAACTGTAAAGTTGTCTCAGCTATGATGCCCCCGCGCCTAGTAGTTACTCAGAGCCAGCCTGGAGTCCTGGTGATAGTCCTTCTCATGGTCAGCATTCGGCAAACAGACCCTCAGCCTGGGCCCTGAGGGGACTCAGCTCTGGGGACGTCTCCCTTGTAGGGAGGATGGAGTAGCCTGCTCCTCCGTTGCTTGTGCAGAACGTGTTGGCTGGCCTCTAGCTGTGTGACGTGGGGGAGGGCGGGAGGCTTGTCACGTTCCGTGAGTCCAGGAAATCGATGGGAGACACAAAAAGAGGCCAGGCCACTGAGATCCACATGGATGCTCTGTGACCCGCACCTTCCTCAGTGGTGGCCAGAGCCAAGTGGACACTGTTCCCTTCAGCTTTTGATGAAGAGAGAGACAGCAGTGTGTGATGTTTCTGGAGGCAAAGACTAGTCAAGGCTGGAAGGCCTTCTGCAAGGCTGACTGGGGAGCTGGGTGGAGAACGGGACCCAGAGCGGCACGGAGGAGAGCCACAGCACAGCCGCCTGGCACAGGCAGAGCTCACAGGCAGGGGGTGAGGACAGCTGGGGTTCCCGGGCCCTCGCCAGCGCCTTGCCCTCCTCTTGGCACTTGACTTGCTGTTGCTCATGGAGTCCGGGCCGTGGCCCCATGAGGCAGCTACATGCGTTATTTCCAGTTTATGGATGACTCCAAGGAGCTGCCAAGTGGCAGAATCGGGTTTCAAATCCGTCAATAATCCCAGGAAGAGCCCCTGTTGACCATCTTCAGAACGCTTTCACACCTTTTCTTACTCCCTCTCTCTCTCCTTTCCCTGGCTGGCCGTGATTCTGTAATTCTTTCTGATTCATTCCAGCTCAGTTTGCTGCTTTTCTGAAACAAAATATGCTGGTGAGGAAAGCTCTTCCTCCCGGCACCTCCTCCTGTCTCTTTGGTGAGTATCACTCCTCGCCTGCACCCTCCACGCGCTGCTTCTCTCCTCCCTCTCACCTCTTCTCAGCCCTGCTTCTCCCGTGTCTCTGACCCCCCCGGTCTCTCCACGTCTTTCTCTTTGCCCTGCTGTCCTTTGGCTCGCTCCGCAGTCTTTGCTTTCCCCGCTCGCTCTGACCACCGCTCACGGCGGTTTCCCCTTTTGTCCTTCTGTGTCTCGCTGTGGGCCTTGGCTCTGCTTCTCCCGTGTGCCTGTGGGCATTGCCTGCGAGCCTGCACCTCCCTGTGTTTCTCTCCTTGCCTCTGATTTCCTGCTTCCGTCCTGGTCTCTGCAAGCGCTGAGCAGCATAACTGTATCTCCTTTCCCTTTTGCCCTCCTCCCTGTGCTGATTCTGGTCAGCGCATTCATCCCCTGAGCAGTCCTTCCTTTCCGCTGACGGCGGCCTCACTGTGGTCTGGAGGTTCCCTGTGGCCCCACACCAGCCTCCCCATCACTCCCACCTCCCATTTTTCGTGTGAGTCCAGCCCTCTATTTCCTTCCTCCTGCCTTTCCGCCCCTCATTGCCTATGCTGACAAGGACTGGTCGTGCTTCTAAGTGTAAAGAGGAGGGCATCTGTGAGCAAGGCTGAAGGATAACTTAACCATCTGGGAGGCTTTGCTCTGTGCAGGATGTGTCTGTTTGATTTGGTGGACAGGGAGGCCCACGTGTGAACCGATGGCCTTTTTCAGTCCTGTTACCACTGACCTGGGGACTAGCCTGTGACATGGGCCCCTGTTACTCTGTTACTTCAGGGCCGGAACTGTAAAGTTGTCTCAGCTATGATGCCCCCGCGCCTAGTAGTTACTCAGAGCCAGCCTGGAGTCCTGGTGATAGTCCTTCTCATGGTCAGCATTCGGCAAACAGACCCTCAGCCTGGGCCCTGAGGGGACTCAGCTCTGGGGACGTCTCCCTTGTAGGGAGGATGGAGTAGCCTGCTCCTCCGTTGCTTGTGCAGAACGTGTTGGCTGGCCTCTAGCTGTGTGACGTGGGGGAGGGCGGGAGGCTTGTCACGTTCCGTGAGTCCAGGAACGCCTGTTGAGGTCCACTGCGGTGAGTCCCATTTGTTCGGCACAGTCAGGATGGCATCTCCTTTCTTTCTGTTTCCACCGACTCAGAGCTCCTTCCTTCCAAGCCCAGGATGGGAGAGGAGGGAGCTGTCCTCGGAGAGGGCCATTGTGGAGATGAGCATAGGTGGGCCTGGCTTGAGGGGGACTGAAGGAATGGCCTTCTTTGTGAACATGCTGGGCCGGTTCTTCCCACATGGCCATGCCGATGCTGGTCCCAGTCCTCAGTGTCTGTCAGGCTTCTCTGGATCGTGGAGATCTTCACCGCAGCTCCATGTCTCAGTTCCTATTTCATCAGAACAAACCGAGGAAGCTGAGAAAGAGGAGCTCAGGGTCCAGCTGAAGCGGCACCATCCCTCCAGTCCCCTTTCTGGCAGCAAGACCTGCAAGCGACCGAAGATCAAGGTGTCCCTCATCTCCCAAGGGGATGCAGCTGGAGGGCCTTGCACCCCTTCCTCAGGGGGCGCTCCAGAAGGTGAGTGTCTCTTGGCTTGCTTAAATAACAACCGACGGGACCATCCCAGAGACACAGCGTTGCCCCCTTGGCGGCTACTTGCTGGGCGGCTTCTCCTCTGCCTTGGTGCAGCAGGCGCCCAGAGAAAGACAGCAAGGGTTGCACGTCGGGGAGAGTGGGCAGTGAACTAGGATCAGGGAGCAGGACAAGGATCAGAGGGAGCTGGGGGTTGTTCACAGCGTCGTACTCTTTGTTTCTTTTTGCTTTCAATTAAAGGTGATAAAATATTCCAGGAAGTTTAGAAAATAGAAGGAAAAGATAACCCCCAACTCTTCCCCACTCTAATGTAGAGTTATCCTTCATTTTTCATCTTTCAGTCTTTTCTAGAATATTTTGCATTTAGCCTGGTCTCTGGGACCCTGAAAGGTCAGCACCAAACCGGACTGACCGGCAGCCTCGGGGTTTTCTGTTTTGCAGCTGCAGGAGGGAAGCCCCTCACCATGACGTTGGGACAGGCGTCCACAGGGGCCACAGAACTTACCGGGCTTCTCGCCACAGCCAAGTGAGTCTGTCTGCTAGAATGTCTGTGCTCTTCTTTCTCTTCACCTCTTCTCAGGGTCCAGTGAGTGCTTTGGAAGATAGTGGATTCTGGAGCCTGTCTGTCCTGTGAATGTGACTTCTTTCTGAGTCGGTTTTTTCTTTGGGTCAACTCAGAGTTGACTTTTACTTAAAGTTTACGAAGTGTCCTGTAGCTCTTGCTTCAAGACCTGAAGTCTTTCCTTTAGGCCTGACTTAGAAGGACTGAAGGCTGGATTCAGAAGGTGAGACGAAAACACCAAAGTTCTAGCCTTGTGTCCATTGCTGAAAGCCTTGCTGGGCCCCCCACTGGACCCTCCTGCTATTGCCAGGGACCTTTAGGTGACGGAGCTCCTGCCTTTGTCTCCAGGTCAAATGCTTCTGAAGGGGGCGTCTCAGCCAGCCAGGCATCCTCAGTGGTCTCCAGCAGCGCCACGCCCAGTGCCTTGCACACACTCCAGAGCCGCCTGGTGGCCCCCTCTCCTGGTGGCTCCCTCCCAGGTACCTGCTAACTCAGCACCCCCACATCCCGCCCCCATCTCCCAGCCAAGTCTCTCTGTGCTGCTGCTGGAGGGTGGCCCTGGGAAAGCACTGTGGAGCTAGGTCTCAGGGGTGCGCCGCTGGGTCTTAGGCTTATTGTAGAGGCTTGGCATGGAGTGGTAATTAACTTTGAGGTGGGGGAGTTCGGGGCCTTAACATCTGCAGTGAGTAAATGCCCTAGTCTGCAGGTGATGTCTCTTCTACTGTAAGGCAGGGGTCCCTAATCCACAGGCCTTGGCGGTCCTGCTCAGTGACCTGGTAGGAACTGGGCCCCACAGCAGGAGGTGAGCTGTTGGCTAGTGAGCGAAGTTCCATCTGCCACTTCCCATTGGTTACATTACTGCCTGAACCATCCCCACTGCCCCCACTCCTGTTGTCTTCCACGAAAAATCCCTGGTGCCAGAAAGGCTGGGAACACTGCTGTAAGGAGAAATAGCAGGTAGGTTTCCAGCTGTGTTGGTGCTGTTAAGCATGTCTGGTTGAATGAAGCTGGAAATGGTGCTGCACAGGGCATCAGCAGAATGAGACATGTTTCTGCCAGGCTGATCCCCTCACCCTGCATTGAAAGTCTGGTTGCTCGAGCCCAGCAGGGTGCCCCTTTCTTCCAGAGGACCTTCCTCTTTGCCCTCAGGCCACTGGACTGTGTGTAAAGTGAAGTCTAAGTCAGGTATTGGATATTCTTTTGGCTTGTAAGTGGGTCCATGATCGCCTTGGTGTTACTGAACCCATCCAAAATGCAGGCGAGGTGGTTTGGAGCTGGCTGGGACGGGCAGAGTGAATCCAAGACAGTGTCAGGAATAGTGGGCGTCTGGCGTGCATGTGTGCATTCTGGCATCTCTCTGTGGGCACCGGAAATGTCCAGGGGAAAGAGTGTCAGTGTTTCAGTTGGTCACTGAGGATGGCGGGCATGGCTGCTCATGAGGAGGTGCCCCACCCCGTGCTGACATCTGTTGTGTCCTCTCTTAGGGGCCGCGTCAGCCAGCAGCCTTCTCCAGGGCCTCAGCTTCAGCCTGCAGGACATCAGCAGCAAGACCTCTGTCCTCCCGGCAAGCCCATCACCCGGGCCAGCCCCACAGGTGCACGTCCGCCTCCCCTGGGCAGGATGGAGGGGAAGGGTGGAGGCCTCCTTGGCTTAGCTGGTTCTGGCAGGGACACTGGGTCAGGGACGGGTAGCCTCTGACTCCACAGCTGGGGACTGCCAGAGGGGATCTAGGTTTCTAGATCTCTTTGTATCTTTGTGTTCTTGGTTGTAAAATGAGGATAATGATAGTACCTCCCTTGCAGAGCTGATGTGGGGATTAAATAAGAGAATATGTGGAAATGCCTGGCAGAGTACCTTGCATGGGGTAGGCGCTCAGTACCAAGCACATGGGCCCGCCACACTCGACTATTGCTGTTGGTTGCAGCTTCTGACTAGCTGCACTTGTGTGTCCCTCAGGCCACTGGTGTGAAGTTGCCCACCCCCATGCAGAGCCTGGGTGCCATCACCACGGGTGCCAGCACCATTGTCCGCACCATCCCTGTGGCCACCACCCTGTCCTCCTTGGGCGCCACTCCTGGTGGGAAACCCACAGCCATCCACCAGCTGCTGACCAATGGGGGCCTCGCTAAGTTAGCAAGCAGCCTTCCTGGCCTGGCTCAGATCTCTAACCAAGCATCAGGTGAGTCTCTCATGAGAACTGTGGGGATCTTCCCCCAAAACCGTCTCACCTCGCATGGGCAAGGTATGATGTTGAGCCCATTTCCGCAGGGTCCTGGCCTTGACCTCGGGTTCAGCTCTGAGGTTCCACCCACCCCCAGGGAACATGAGAGTACACAGGCTGTTCCTGTTGCTTTTGGGCGTAGGTGACCCAGCTGGGAAGGAGACCAAGACGGGAGGCCAGGTGGGGGGGTGTCACATGGGTGGTCAGGGGGACGCCCCAAGAAAGGGAAGTGGAGGCTGTGACAACACAAGCCTACCACTCTCTCTGTCTCTCAGGCTTGAAGGTCCCCACCACCATCACTCTGACACTGCGTGGCCAGCCCAGCCGAATCACCACGCTGAGCCCCGTGGGCACAGGAGCAGCCCCGTCAGAGGAGCCCACCTCCCAGGCACTGCCCTCCAACTCACAGGTGAGTCTGTCTGGGGAGACCGAGGACTTAGGCTCCAGTGTTGGGCGGCAGGGTCCAACTGGCTGGCTGACTGCAGGAGCTGGACTGGTAGGCAGGCCCGATGCCCCTCCACTCTTGGAGTTTGTGGCTTTGTTACTGTGGTTGGGTTTTGGGTTTTGTTTTTTAATTGAAGTATAGTTGACGTCCAGTGTGTTAGTTTCAGGTGTAGAACACGTTCGGTTATATACCTTTTCAGATCCTTCTCCCTTTTGGGTTATTATCAAACTGTTGAGCATAGTTCCCTGTGCTGTACAGTAGGTCCTTGCTGGTCGGAGTTTGCAGCTTTGAAGCTGAGGGAGTCATGGGCCTCCGTGCGACTTCCCTGTAGCGCTCCTGGATTGTGTGAGGATCAAACACGAGCTGTGCTCAGCGCCTGATCAGTGCTGTCTCCGTCCCTTCTCCGCCCTTCTCTGCTCCGTTCTTGGCTTCACTGTGCAGAGGTTGCGTAGGAGCTAAGTGGTAATACCCTCTGTTTGACTCGCCAGCCTTGGGCTATCACAGACCTTTGTGTTCATTGTTGTCTTTTCAGGGCACAGTTAGGTTTCTATAGCTCTTACACAGGAAGCCACCATCAGTTTCTCTTTTTTTTTTTTCAGTAGGCATTTTATTTATTTATTTATTTTCCATTTATTTTTATTAGTTGGAGGCTAATTACTTTACATCATTGCAGTGGTTTCTGTCATACATTGAAATGAATTAGCCATGGATTTACATGTATTCCCCATCCCGGTCCCCCCTCCCACCTCCCTCTCCACCCGATCCCTCTGGGTCTTCCCAGTGCACCAGGCCCGAGCACTTGTCTCATGCACCCAACCTGGGCTGGTGATCTGTTTCACCCTAGATAATATACATGTTTCGATGCTGTTCTCTTGAAACATCCCACCCTCGCCTTCTCCCAGAGTCCACAAGTCTGTTCTATACATCTGAGTCTCTTTTTCTGTTTTGCATATAGGGTTATCGTTATCATCTTTCTAAATTCCATATATATGTGTTAGTATACTGTAATGGTCTTTATCTCTCTGGCTTACTTCGCTCTGTCATCAGTTTCTCTTAACTGATCTGATTTCCATTGTGACCTTTTCAAGTAAAATGTTTCTGTTTTAAATGGTGATCTGAGGGCCACCCAAAGATCAGAGGTTAACAACAACACACAGTCCTGACTCCAGCAGTGCGTGTGCTCTCCTGCGTGTCCAATTTTCAGCCGAGGCCTCCTGCCTGGGGCCCTGGTGTGCAGGCTTCCGTGGCTGAGGGCTTACCGGTCCCCTCGCTGCTGCCGCGCCAGCCCCGCCCTGGATCTGGGCACCGGTGCCCTCCGACCTGAGCCAGGAGCTCTTCTGCCTCTTCCTCCCCAGGGGAAAGTACTGCTCAGAGGTGGTTAACCTGGCTTTGTGCAGAGAAGCACAGGTGATTTAATTTATTTTATTCTCTATTCTTTTTAATTATAAAAGTGATTGCACTTACTTTAAATAATCCAAAAGTTATAGAAATCATATAATTTGTAAAGTGAAAATTCCCCATGATACCACTCCCAGAGATGATAACCCCTGTTGGTAGCTTGATATGCATTTTTCTAGATTCTTCTTTCTACAGAATTCATTATTTTACTCCTTTTGACAGAAATTAGACCACAGAATATGGCTATTTTGTCACTAACCTTTGTTTATGAAACATGTGGTGTCTTTCCCTGTCCTTTACTTGGAGACTTGTCTATTTCTTGTCAGTGGCTTTCACTGGGTTAATGTACTAAAGTGTATTTCACCAATTCCTGTTAGAGAGTTATGTTTTGTTTTTCAGTAGAGTAAATATTGGTATGGTGCTACCCTTTGTTCATGATTTTTGTGTACCTTTGGGAGATTTCTATAGGCTAAAGACAGTAAGCTGGGGCCTGTACATCTAACATGTGGCTGTTGTTTAGTCGATAAATCGTGTCTGACTCTTTTATGACCCCATGGACTGTAGCCTGCCAGACTCCTCTGTGCATGGGATTTCCCAGAACATCTGGCTAGCTGCTGACTGATTGTCCTTCAGAAGGTTTGTTCATTTACAGTTCAAGCCACAGTGATGAGAATACCTCTTTTCCTCCATGTTGTTGATTATGAAAATCAGTATTTTTAATTTTACTAATTTGATAGGTGAAAAGTGAAATTGTTTTAATGTGCATTTTCCTGTTGCTTATGAGGTTGTGTCTTTAATGAATTGCTTGTCATATTCTGTATCTACTCAATTCATAGTAGCTTTATATATGCAGGTGTTTATCCTTTATACAAATACACAAATATATTATACAAGTTGTACATGCTTTGTCCCAGTCAGTTACTTTTTTTTTTTTTTCTGTTGAAGTATTAAGTTGCTTGTCTTTTAATTTTTGTTTCTGGGTCTTTTATCAAACAGACATTAAAAATTGTGTATGTAGTTACTTAACATCTTCAGATTCTTCCATTTATGACTCTTAAGTTTTGTGTTTTAAGAAAGCTCTTCACATTGTAAGGACATAACCTTTTTATGTTTTAAAACTTTTAATGTCCAAACCTGTGGTAACATTTGCTTACAGACAGTTTTCCATTTTACCCCCTTTAAACTGGTGGTGCGGTGCCGTGCACAGTGCTGTCCCGCCATCACCATGCACCTCTGGTGCTGTCCGTAACCCCTTGCTGAAACTCTGAGTGTGTTTTCTTACGTGGCTTGTGTCCGTTTGCTTACCTTCAGTTGTTCAGTCCTTTTGGAATTTATTTTTCATTCTAAGTGAGGTAAGGATCTCACTTACTGAGTCCATTCATCTTCCATTCATTTGAAGAGAGCAGCTCTCACCTTCTAGATTACTGTACACACGGGACCTGTTAGTACCCTTGACCTGTTTCAATACTACTTGATTGTTGTTTGATAATGCATGTTCTTAAGTATCAATTATGTTTCTAGTTCCCTAAGATCATCTTTATTCTCTTCTTTTCTTTTTACAAATGATGAGTTTTAAGATTTGTTCATTGCCTTTTTGGAATCAAAGGAACTGAATGAACACAACTGTCTTTTAAGTCAGTTAAAATGATTAATTACTTTCAAACATTTCCTAATATCAAACTGTCTGAATTCCAGATTCAGTAGTTTGTTCAGTATGTCCTATTCTGTTTTTGTTTTTTGCACATTCCTAAATTTTACTGTACATGTGTAAGAAACAGGAACTTCAGAGGTAACGCATGTCTAGTCTTGATTTACTTTTGTCTTACTCAGGGTTTTGACGTCTATGTCTGTTAGTAAGATTGGCCTATAGTTTTCTTCCTCTCTGCTCTTGCTTTTTGATGTATGTCCTTTCCTTGTCCAGTTATAGAATATGGGAAACATTTTCTTTCTCATATTCCAAAACATTTATATAGCACAAAAATTACCAGTTTTTTGATGGTTGGATGGAAATGACCTGTAGGCCATTTGGGCCTGTTTTCAGACCGTCTTAACCTTTGCTGATGACATGTTGATGCCCAGCTAGAAGACAGATCCTCACGAGTTATGTTCCTTTTCTTTCAGATGGTCCTCTTCAGCTTGCTCTGGCTGGGGGCAGGCAGGGGAACCTAGTTAGAGCTGAGAAGAGAGCAGAAGTCAGCGAGAATTCTTTTCCATGGCTAAATTGAAGGGTGGAATCGATATCTGACTTCTACTTGATGGTATTTACTTGAGAGTAAAATGGGTGTGTCAGTTACTGGAGGGTTCTAGTGGTGATTGTTTTCTTTTAGACAAAAGAGGTGTTTCTAGGTTAAGGCTTGCTGATTCAGAAGTGTTTAACAGTTACTTCAGTGTTCAGACTGCCAGACAGTATGACCGCAGGGAAAGCTCAAGCCTTCTGTCTTCGGTTAGCTGCGTGACCCTGGACAGATTGCCCGGCCTCTGCATTTTCTCATCTAGTCGAGTGAGGAGGTTGGCAGAAGTCAGTGACTGTTGTGGTGGTGGGCTTAGTAGAGGCTGTTTCGGAAAGCTCTTCTGGCTCTGGGAAGATGGAGTTCTAAAAGTTGAGAAACAACCACCTATTTCTGATGTTTATAAGATAATTGGAGATTTGAACACTGACTGGATTATTGTTGATTAAGAAATTGTTAATCTTTTTAAGGTGTGATAATAGTTTTAAGTTTGAAAAATAATCTCTTTTAAATTTGGAGCTTATAGACTACAATATTTATAGAGAAAATGAATTTAAAAAGAAAAAAGGTTGTAAACACTGAAAGACTTCTCTAAGGTCTGTGCCCTTATTTATCTCTGTTGTTCCTGGTGGAGATGAATACTTAATGTTTGTTTCCTTATGAAACTGGACCATTATGTGGCCCTACAGCTGCGAAGCTGCAGGAGAAAGGGGAGACAGACAGTGTAGTGCCCTGCAATCAGGGTCCTGGGAATGGACTCCTTGACTGTGATCACAAGGTTTTCCTGTCTCTGGCCACTCAGTGCCCTCGTCAGGCTGGCAGGCAGCCTCCAGCTGTCCGCCTGGCGGGGTCATTGCTTGCAGCACTCCTGATTGGGACAGAGCTCATCTGTGTACATTCCAGCCCGCCTTTGGGCAGGGCCAGCACGCGGGCGACGGAACCTTTCAGGTTTTGATTGGCAGGCCTTTCTTCATTCCTCCTCCTCACCTGTGTCCTCTCTCTTCCCCTCCTTTACTGCATCCTCAGAGACCTCTTAGGAGTTTTCCAAAGGCGGAACTAGAGAAATAGGGGAAACATTTGTGGAAAAAGGCCAACTCTCTACTTCCTTCTTCCCAAGCTGCAGGGCTCAACAATTCATGGCATCTTCCACAGCACTTAAAAAATGAACATGACCTAGAGCAATGATACTGCCAGAGCAGTCACATAAAACTTCTCTTCAACTCTGCCACCCTTAAGAAGTCACCTGTTCCCTTTTCCCTGCATTCTTTCCTTTTTCCTTATATAATAATAAGAGCCAGTGATTGTGGTTGACACATAGGCGCTTTATGCAGATTGTCCCGTGTAATCTCACAGCAACCCTGGGGAGTAGGTGCTCTCATATCTGTCTCACAGAGGAAGGAAAGGAGGCTCAGAGGATGGAAGTCACTTGCCCTGAAAAGCGGTGGAGGGGACTCTCTGACTCCAGAGTCTGTGTTATACTCATTACTTGGCTTCTAGAACACCTATCCTTGTACATCTCCCTTTTCCCCCATTGAGCATTATTTCTTTGGAACACGTTCTGGGGGTGGGGTGACTGGCTGAGTAAGGGGGTCAGTTGTGCTGACCTGGCAAACTGTTGACCTTGTTCACTGCCTCTCCCGCCACAGCGCCTGCCTCCAGCCCCCTGAGGACACTGTGCCACATGTCTTCCTTCACCAGGCTGGTGACGGCTGCTGCACGGTGTGGCCTGGGCGGCGGTGCAGTCCTGCCGAGCTGTCCGCTTGTCCAAAGACCTCTTTAACACAGTCACTTTTGCCTCTCTGTCAGCTGTCTTCAGGACTGGACCTCCGGGTCTTGTGTAATCATGAGGCAAGGTGATACAGCGCCAGCAACGGGACCCTGTGCCCAGTCACTACAGGTCTGATTCCAAGAATCTCCAGGTCCTCAGCACATCTGGCTGGGCATGAATCTGAGGCACTGCTTCCCTCTCAGTAGCTGTAACTTGACCCAGGAAGTGGCGTCGGACTGCTCACTGCATCGTAATAAAGGAGCACCTCTTGGAAGTGTGTGCCGCCCCGCACAAAGTTAGGAGGAGACATCATGTGGTCCCGGGCTGTAGGAGTTGGGGTCGAGAGCCCTGTGCTGAGGGCAAGGATCATCCCAGCCCCCCAACTGGCGGCTCAGTGCCAGGGGGCTTGTTCTGTCTGTCGTTGTCCACCAAACAGTCATGGGAGAGGTCTTTGCAGGCAGCATTCTCCGTAGGCGCCACACTGGATACCAAGTACCTGCTGAGACCTGGAGACTCCTCGCTCCAGACCCGTGAGAGGGACAGAGAAGCGGACTGCCGTCTCTCAGTCCCTTTGGCCAGTCACAGACACGGGGAGCAGCAGTTGCTGGGAGGTGAGAGCCAGCTTTTCTCTTTTCCATCACGTTTGGGCAATTCTTGTATTCAGAAAGCCTGCAGGCTCAGAAAGGCTGACGAGAACGAAGGGGACAGCCAACAGAGTGTCCTGGAGGGCACACCAGCTGTGGAGGTGCTTTGGGCTTGAGGCTTTGCATCTGTCACCTAAGGAGTTGTGGTTTCAGCTGGAGATGAAAATTTTCCGGGCCCGAGGAAAGAAGCCCCAACCCCTGAAATTTCCGTGCTCAGTAGTGGAGTGGGGACAGCTGCTCAGTGAACACCTTGGCCGCTCGTCCTGTGAGACCCTGACATCAGGACAACAGATGCCACGCTTTGGTGTTTCTGTTTCAGCTCTGCGTATGACTTCTTGTCTTCTTGCTTAGAAGTGGGAAGATGACTGGCATTGGCTCTACTGTGCAGGGTGCTCAGTACCAACCTGAGCCCTGGAGGGGCAGGTCCCTGGAGAAGTGATTACTGAGGATGGAGCCCTGAGCCCTTCCTTACCTCCTCACAACACTTGTATGCAAAAGTATTTTTAGATTTGGCTTAGAAGCTGTCCTCCAGAGTAGGCTCCTTTCCCTTTTGTACTCTAGAAGGTTTCCAGCCCAGGTGTAAGGCCCCCCACGTATGACTCTTGAGTATCTGTAGGCAGGGAGGACCCACAGCATACCATGGCTGGACTTGCGCAGGTCCTGGCCTGAGGGCAGTGTGTATCCACAGCAGGCCACCTCTGTTCAGTCCAGGAGGCTCCGTCCAGTTCGAGTGGCAGCCGGGAGGCGGCCTGTGGTAGAGGAGTCTCAGACACAGCGGACTTGGTCCAGGCCGGGCCCGCAGCAGTGTCTGCCACAGGCATGGAGCGGGCAGGTGTCACTACACCCTCCCTCCCGGCCTCCTGCCTAGCTGGTCTCTGAAGTGGTTCACACAGAACTAGCCTGCATCCTTGCATTAGTGGGCAGGCAACTGCTTTCTGAAATTCAGGCAGCATTTAGTAAGTTGGAAGAGATGAAAGGTGAAAAAGACGTCCAGGGTCAGGGGTTTGGTGACTTTACAGGTAGGATAGTAACGCGCCAGGAGGAACTGAGGACAGTGAGACTGTGAGACCTGTGTGAAGCTTTTAGCAAACACTCAGGGCAGGTTCCTGAACAGCCTCTTCATGACTTAGAAGTACTGTCTAGACAGCACCGGGGGGCTGCTCTGAAAGATGCTGACCCCCCTGTGGGCTGGGGCCAAAGAAGAAGCTGAAAAAGCATCCTGCGTCTGTCTCAACCCTAGCAAGCTTCCCACGAATGATTTCCTGAGGCTTGGCTTATACACCGGGAGGGCTGCCAAAGCTGGGGAAGGGGAGTAGTGAGAACCTTGGTTCTGCTGCACTGTGGGGGGACGGGCTAAAGGAGGAAGTAGTTGAAGTCCCTGGAATCATGCTCCCCAATTCCGCACTTCTCCAGCCACATTTCTCAAACTGGAGAAGGAAGCTTCCCTCTGCCAATCACATAGCAGACCTAGAGTCCCTGACCTTGGAAGGCAACACTACTGGCCAAAAGTGTAGAAGGATCCAGAGAGCTTTAGCTGAGTTCTTGGGTGACGGGTGCGTGTTGATGCCCTGTGAAAGCAGTCTTTGTTTGAAGATGAAGTCGCTGATGGAGTAAGACCTGTCCTCGGCTCCACCGCTGGGACAGCCCTGGGCTGGATGGGGTATTGAGCTGAGCTGCTGTGACAGTTCTGTTTTTCCATTAGCCAAAACAATTAAAAATAAAAACAGATTTTGGATTGCTTCAACATGTCTTCAGTCAACTTCTTTCTTTTATTCTGGTAATCACCCAGTGGAATGGCACAGAAAACAAAAGCTAAAATATTATGGTAATTCCACTGACCATCTTCCTGATGCCTGCAATACCCACGAGGTGGGTGCTGTAATTCCCCTTTTACAGATAAGGAAACAGAGGCACAGAGAAGCCACACAGCAGGACTGAACCCAGACAGTCTGATACCAGTGTCTGTTCTTCTCTGCACTGTGCTGGGATTCTGAAATGGGAGACCGGAAGTGGAAATTAGCGCAGGAGGTGAGGAGATGGTGACTTGGCCTTGATGTGACCCCTTTCAGTTTAGACTGTAGGCCCACCAGGCCTAGAGTGATTGCTGCTACCCTGGTGGGCTCTTGGCTGGGCTTGAGTCAGTAGGTGGGGTCCCTCACCCTTGGTCCTGAGAGATGAAAACCTCTTTGCACATCCTATCCCTCTGCTGCCCTCCAGTAATTAATGACTTAGCAATGAATGAAGGAATTCCAACCTCCGTGTTATCTGTGATCTTGTATCTAAGAGGACCTTCCTGAAAGGAAAGTGAAAGTGTTAGTTGCTCAGTCGTGTCCAACTCTTTGCAACCCCATGGACTTTGCAACTTCTCTGCCCATGGGATTCTCCAGGTAAGAATACTGGAGTGTTGCCATTTCCTCCTCCAGGGGATCTTCCCAACCCAGGGATCCAACCTCAGTCAGGTGACCATTGCAGACAGATTCTTTACTGTCTGAGCCACCAGGGAAACCCTTGGATTCCAGGTACCCACCTTCAATATTGGAGCCCCCGTGGGTGGAAACTGTAGTTCTGGTATACTGCTTAAAAGATCTTCAACATGTGAACTCTTCTTGTTTCCTTCCTTACTGAGACCTCATCTTACTTTCAACTCCAGTCTCACCGACTTGGGTGTGTCAGATGAAGGGAGAGGTGAAGATTAGGTTGTTTAAACGGTAGCAGTATAAGGACAGGGCCATAGCAGATTAGGATGCAGAAGAAATCCTGTTGCCTTTTTATCTCCCTTTCCAAAGCATATGTTTTAGTCAGGGTGATGGTTGGAAGAAGCAGGAAACTATTCACTACCGAAATTAGTTCTAAAAGGTGATATTCTCTCAAAAGGTATCTTCACTGACCGGGAGCCTGACAGTTTCCGCTACTTGCCTGATGACGTCCACTGACCTGGAATGGCCAGGGACCTGTTTTGATCCTGTCATCACAGGATTTTTTTGTCATCCCTTTGTGAGTGGCCAGTTTCTGTCTTTCATTCAAATTCTGAACACAGTGAATCTGGTTGGCTCAGTCCCACTTACAGGTTGGTTCTTCTTATATCCTTTCTCACCCCAGTTTAATAACATCAGAAGATGAAGTCATATGGCCCGTGTTTTTGCCTTTCTAAGGGATTAAAAACAAAACTACCTGAGCTATTTCAATGTGTGTGTGTTTAACTTACCTTGAGAGCATAGGGAAGTCCCATGTTCATTTCATCCAGTATCCTCCATTACTTAAGTTCCCACAACTAATAAATAGTACAGTCTAAATCAGTCAAGATTGACAAATTTGACTACATAGAAATTTAAAGCCGTGGTTTAAAAAAACACCTTTTTTTAAAGTGTGAAATAAATTGTGTATGTCTGTGTGAAAGAAAACAGAAAAGGATGGAAATACACATATCTACCTGTTGGTAGATGTCTCTGCAGAGGATAAAAGGATTAGGGAGAAAGAAATCTATATACAAACCCCAACAAATTTTAACGACATAATGAGGCATCACAGTGCACCTAGGAGAATGGCTAAAACAAAGAGCAGAGACAGTATAAGGATGCTGGGAAAATGTATCTCTTCTACATTACTGGTGGGACCGTCAAATGGGTTTGCTCTAAGTTTTTGCTATGACTACATATTACTTGGAATATCCAGGTGGCTCAGTAATAAAGAACCCGCCTGCCAATGCAGGAGATGCAGGTTCTATCCGTGGGTCAGGAAGATCCCCTGGAGTAGGAAATGGCTACCCACTCCAGTATTCTTGCCTGCGAAATCCCATGGACACACAAGCCTGGCAGGCTACAGTCCGTGAGGTCACACAGAATCAAACATGACTGAGCAACTACACAACAACAACAAAAACGAATGTTGTTGTGGATTGAAGGTACCGTAGGTTTTGTTAACTGCTCACTTGTTGAGTGGCATCTTGATTGTTTCCAGTTTGGGACTATTGCAGATACAGCTGCTGTGAGCATTTCTAAGTGGGTTTTTGTATAAACTTTCATTTTCATGTCTGGAATGAATGCCCAGGAGTGTGATTATCAGGTCATGTGGTAAATTTTTATCATTTGAAGAAACTGTCAAACATTTTCCTAAGTAGCTCTTCCATTTTATGGTCCCACCAGTAATGTAGTCAGTCAGTCAGTTCAGTCGCTCAGTCGTGTCCGACTCTTTGCGACCTCATGAACCACAGCATGCCAGGCCTCCCTGTCCATCACCAACTCCTGGAGTCCACTCAAACCCATGTCTGTTGTGTCAGTGATGCCATCCAACCATCTCATCCTCTGTCGTCCCCTTCTCCTCCTGCCCTCAGTCTTTCCCAGCATCAGGGTCTTTTCAAATGAGTCAGGTCTCCACATCAGGTGGCCAAAGTATTGGAGTTTCAACTTCAACATCAGTCCCTCCAATGAACACCCAGGACAGTAATGTAGAAGAGATCCATTTTCCCTGCAGCCTTATACTGTCTTTGTTTTTCATTTGGGCCATTCTAGGTATATTGTGATATCTCATTATGTTGTTTAAAATTTGTTGAGGTTTGCATATGGTCTAGGATCTGGTAGTTCTGTCCTCTTGATATATTTTCTATAGGTTCTTGAAAGATTATACTGTTGGGTGGAGGGTAAATGGTGATAAAATTCTTGTTAGTTGATGGTATTGAGTTCTTATAGCTTATACCCTTGCTGATTTTCTTCAAGTTCTGTTGGTTGAGAGAGTGCTGTTGAAATTCCCAGCGATAATTGTGGAATTGTCTGTGTCTCCTTTAAGTTTTTGCTTCAGATATTTTGCAGTTCTGTTATCTGGCACATACCACTTAGGATTTCTGTGTCTTTTTTGTGGATTGACCTTTTTATCATTATGTAATGTCCCTCGGACTGCAAGGAAATCCAGCCAGTCCATCCTAAAGGAAATCAGTCCTGAATATTCATTGGAAGGATTGATGCTGAAGCTGAAACTCAGTACTTTGGCCACCTGATGTAAAGAGCTGACTCATTTGAAAAGACCCTGATACTGGGAAAGATTGAAGGTGGGAGAAGGGGACGACAGAGGATGAGATAGTTGGATGGCATCACCAACTCAATGGACATGAGTTTGAGTAAATTCCAGGAGTTGGTGATGGATAGGGAGGCCTGGCATGCTGCGGTCCATGGGGTCGCAAAGAGTCAGACATGACTGAGCGACTGAACTGAACTGAATGTCTCTCTGTACCTGGTTATTTTCTTTGCCCTGAAGTTTACTTTTATCTGACAGACTTCACATGTCACATCTGATTCAGTTTCTGGTTTTGGTATTTTTTTGTACTTTTAAAAATTGTATTTTATTATTTTTGGCTGCTCTGGGTCTTTGTTGCTGCACGTGGGCCTTTTGTAGTTGCGGCGAGCTCGGGATACTGTTTGCTGCAGTGCATGGGCTTCTCATTGCAGTGGCCTCTCTCGTTATGGAGCACCGGCTCTAGGGCGTATGGACTTCAGTAGTTGAGGCTCATGGGCTTATTTGCCCCATGGAATGTGGGATCTTCCTAGACCAGGGATCAAATCCGTGTCTTCTGTGTTGACAGGCAGATTCTTAATCACTGGACCACCAGGGAAGTCCCATGATTATCTTTTTTGTACCCTTTCTTCTGTTGCCAAACATCTCCAATTATTTTCTACAATAAATTCCCAGAAATAAGACAATTAGTCAAAAGGTATGAATATTTTTTATGACTTGCTGTTATCCAAGCAGCTTGTGATAAGTTATGCCCTCACCAATGTATAATGCTGATTGTTTGTTTTTAATTACACCTCAGTTTATATTTTTAATTTAGAACAATGGAACAGGGGAAGAAGATGTTTCCTTTTTCTTTCGGCATACCTCAGTTCCCAAATTAGAAATTTCCTATTGAAGGAACCACATATCCCATGTTCTAATTTGGGACATTCGGGAATGTGATAAGGGAGATGGAGAAATGGGTGATCTTTGATTTGATATCACAGCTGCTTACATACAGGAACACAAGCCCTCATGCACTCACATACATGAACACTACACATGTGTACGAATGTTCGTGCCTCATACCCTCACAAGCACATTACACATGAGTAATTGCATTTGTGCGTGCACCAGCAATTTACTCCTAGCTTTTGTCTTATTCTATTTGGTCTGCTATAATAAAGTGCCACAAAATTAGGAGGTTTATAAGTGAGAAATTTATTTCTCACAGTTCTGGAGGTTGGCAAGTCTAAGACCAAGATGCCTACAAATTCACTGTCTGGTGAGGCCCCCTTCCTAGGCTGTCTCTTAGCTGTAATCTCCCTTGGCAGAAGGGGGCAAGGGAGCTTTCTCAGCCTCCTTTATAAGGGCACTAATCCCATCCACATGGGCTCTTCCCTTCATGACCTAATCATCTCCTGGAGGCCCTGCCTCCCTAGTACTGTCACACTGGAATTAGGTTTTCAACATCCGAATTTGGGAGGGCATGACATGAGGCCATGGCAGATACCTCATGGAGCCCCTGGCTGGGCAGGAGGCTTCAGCATGGCCAGGCCATCCTCAGAGTCTGTCTCTGGCTTCTTTTGTTCCCTTCTCCTTCCCAAAGTCCCCACTGCTACCAGTTTCAAAAGTTTTAACCACTGGTCTGGGAGCGGAGGTTGACTCTGGGACCGGAAATGAGGGTCTGGGGAGAGAAGCCTCAGAAGAAGGGGAAGGCAGAGCTTCCTCCCCTCTCTGACGTGGTGAGTGAGTTTGGCT